TCTTTCCTGAACTGCCATCCATTTCCAGTAGTGGATTGGTTCCTGTCCCTTTGGTAAGGTACAGATGTGTTTTCAGCATCTCTGATCTTTCTCCTCCACTTTCCCTGCCACTCTGTCTCTCCAGCTGGGTGTGGGGTGACACCAGTGTCTCTGGAAGGCAGTCATTAACTGGCTGGTGTGTAGCCTGAGCAAAGCTATATAGGCTTCTCCCAGGCAGGAATAACTTGGTCCAGGCCAAGGCCAAGCTTGCTCCAGTCCTGACTGGCTGAGTCCCTTCAGAAGACCAGGCTGGCAAGAGCCTTCCTTTCAGCATGGGTGTGAGCAAAGAGCTTTGGCACTAATATTAACTCTTCCTTTGTGATTTGTGTAATTTATTTCACTCTTTCTGTGAGCTAAAAGGACTTTTTATGCTTTTCCCCCTTTCTCCGCCAAGTTCTTCTCTGCTTCTGGTGGAGCATCCAGGTCTAACACGCAGCTCGTGGTGTCTGCACTGCTGTGACGTGACTCTTGCACGTGTCTTCACTCGAGAGAGCCATCTAGTTTGGAGAGCTCGTCAGACCTGAGGAATGTCATCTGGAACCCAAAGTAGTTTGTCCATTGGGGGTGGTATGAACTGATGATGTTTGTGATGGCACATCTCTGTCCTCTGGGTCACCGTGAGTGCTCAGTGTGGAGAAAAACCCAAATACCCTTGGTTTAGATGTGTGGTGATGAGACTGCCCTCCCACGTGTTTCCAGGGAGAAGAGAGGAGCCAGGCAGGAGTTGAAAAGATGATGTAGCTCTGTCTGATGCAGCTGGCTGTTGGAAATAAATATGCAGAGGGTGCTTTGGAAGTGGTGAGCTGTGCTGAAGGGAGAGTTTGGACTTCATGAAAAACATTAAAAATTCAAAGCAGAGTTGTTGGCAGGTGATGGCCGTTGAAGTAGAACAGAAGAATGAGCAGAAGCCTGGCAGGGTAGTGGGATGATGATAATTATTTCTTGATTTCTTGAAGGAAGTTAATGAGACAGTGGAGAGGGTGAATGTAAGAGGTGGGGTTTAAGAGATGTGTCACAGCTCTGTGGGCATGGGATGTCAGGTGTCAAGGAGAAAACCCTCTGGATGACCTGTGGAGGACCAGGAGGGGTTGCAGAACAGGGTCGATCTCCGTTCACGCTGTTAGTCTTTACCATTGTGCTGTGTAGCCATGTTTGCAAGGTGGGCCTTGGTTTGGTGGGAAGCACTATGAATTAAGTTTGTAATTTTAAATGTTAAATGGGTTGAAATTCCCTGGGAATGAGCATGTGTGTTGCCCCATCAGGAGGATATCTAGGGATGCAGGGGTAGCTGTGTGCATAGGCCACGGATCTGTGATACTAGACCATTCACCAGGAGCACAAGGGTCAAAGAAAATCAAGAAAAAATCTTGAGTAAGGAACTTCGTGGGCCTGTGAGGAATTCTGGGGTGTCCAAAGTTTGGGACTTTATGCAGTTCCTGCTATGAGTGCAGGGCTCTGGCTGTCTGCTTCCTGCCCCCACAAACAAGTTCTCCGTAATTTATTCCTGAGCTGTTAATGGCACATAGGGAACATGGAGATGAGATGAGCTGCTCTGTCCCCCCTGAAAGAAGTGTAACAAGTTCAGACTGGGATTTTCCAAGGGTGATCCCCAAGGTGTTTTCAGCCAGAATACCCTTCTAATAACTTTTTAGTTCTGAAATTATTTCAGGTTTTAATGGGGAAAAAACCTTAAAACAAGAAAAATGAAACTTCCTTAAAATGGAAGATTGACTTCTGGGTTTGCAGGAGGAAATAACAATTGTTTCTTCATCTGGGTGCTCTCTCTGGGGTGTTTAGGGCAGGTCAGCCTGGCTTCTGTCCTCTTTCAGTCTCCCAGATGTTAGGAGCTGGTGGAGCAGCCCACATTGCAGGCAGTTCAGCCTGGCAGCAGTCCTGCTAGCACTTGCTGTGCTAGGATTGCTCCCCAGTCCTGCTGCAAGGTTTCAAAGCATCAAATTTTAAATGACTTTAGCCAAAGAGTTTCAACACGCTGCAAATATAGGTAGTGCAGTTATTACTCTTTTTTTACTGTCTTTTTTTATTTTTTTTTTTTTAAACAATTTAAAACAAACCAAACCAAACTTTCATTGGTTTCCTGAAAATGTTTTGGGTGTTGTTTCTGGTTTGGGTTTTGTTTGGTTGGTTTTTAGTTGTTGTTTTGGGATTTTTTTGTTTGTTTGTTTTGTGTTTTGTTTGTTTGGTTTTCCTTTTTTTCATTTTTTTTTCTTTTTTTGTTGGCAATTGGGTGACCTATGAAATACCATAAGCAGCACAAAACGTTTATCCAGCGACAGCCTGAGGTAGCACAGGCAGCTCTTAGCAGGTTTATTTTCATTATTACAGCAATTTTAGGGCTGCATGCTGCAATTTTCACTTGCAGTGAGGTATTAAATTGAAATTACCCCAGATGTAATTGTCACACAAAATAATTCTGGACATGCTGGATTTAATGCTTTTCCAAGCTGTGGTTTTTATTACCCAAGTAAGTGCCAAAAAAACACTTGTAGTCAACAACTTAAACTGAAATCTGCCTTCTGGGGAGCCAGGATGTTTCGCTGCAGTTACACTGGGGAGGAAGGAAAAAAAAAGAGGGACCAACTGGAGTAAACTTTGGGAGGGCTCCTGAAAGAATAGTCCAGGGGTAAAATATTGGGCAAGGGCAGACTCAGGGCCGCATAGGAACCACGGAGGAGGGGCGCTGGCAGAGGCAGCAGCTCAGCCTAACACTTTTCGAGCTGGTTTTTGGAGAGGCAAGTCCCAGCTGTGGTGTCACAGAGACAAAGAGAGGCAGGGGGTGCTGCCAGGCCCCTGCCTGCTCCGCAGCAGCAGCACAGTCATTGGTCCCTTCTTTGGGATGCAATGAGTCTCGTTAAACAGAGGCCAGGGATGGATGGCAGCACCAGTGACCAGGCTCTGGAGGTGCTCATATGAGACACTTCAGCCTTTCCCAGATGCACATTGTCTAGTGAGGCCAATCTGGTGCACAGACATCTGGAGTTGTAAAAGCAAGTTGTTGTGCATGAGGAGCCTTTGTTGGGCTGCTGGAGGGCTCAGCCAGGGTGCAATATTCCCAGCACTCCCACTGGTGGGTGGTACAGCATGCACACGCTGCTGCTTTATTTATTAGCTCCTTAGCTGTTGGAATAACATAAGTAAAGTATTGATGACTTTATGTTTTCCACCCTCTTTCATTCTTTTCCAGAAATAGCTTCCCTTGTTTGCTCCACAGAACCGCGCTGAAAGTGGGTGGAAGGACATGCATCTGGGAACGATGTAAAAATAGCACAGGGAGAGGCAGTTGCCACAGTCTGTCCCTGGAGCTCCACAAAGCAAGCGAGAGCTGAGCCTGAGCATGGCAAATCAGGAGCTGAACAGCCACTTCTTTCTCATCATATCAGTTTGGGAAGGCTGAGCTGGAGTTGGTTACTGGATGGTGCATGGTGCTGCAGTGACCCAGAGGAGCAGCTCAGGGCATGACCCAGTACTGTTTCATAATTCAGAAACCCTCTGTTTTCAGCATCCCTGAGATGTAATTTTGATGAATGAGGGTGCTGTCGCACAGGGCAATGTTACTGAACTTTCTCCTGCATATGGAATAGCTGTGCAACTTTGGCATCCTTTGGGGATGTACCTAGAATTAGAATTGTCTTGATTGTGAATTTCTGGCTAAAAGAATGAGAAAACTGTTTTTGGTCAGGTTGAAGCAGGATTTGGAAAATGTTTTGAGTGAAACAATGAGAGAAAGCAACAAGTGATTTAGTGTGATCTTGGAAATATTTTGTCCCACTCAAGATATCATTTTTTTCTTATCTCTGGAATTGTTACACCTGTTGTGCACTCTTTTCTCCTTTAATTTAGTTCACTTTGTAAATAATCGGAAATGCAATTTCAAAATTAAAAGATGGAAAATCTCATCAAAAAATAATATCTCAAGCATTTTGGCACTTCACACGTGCAACATGCCATGTTCAATAGCATAAATCAGCAATATCTTGCTGGTTACTCTTACCTGCTTTCTCCTCTCCATCCCCAGCCTAATTTTTCCATCTGTTTTTACTTCATCTTGCAGACACTGTGTCCGAGAACTTGGTGGGAGCAAACTAATGGTGGTTGCTCAGTCCTTTTTTCTGCTTCATTTGACGATAGTAGTGGTAGCACCTGGGCAGTGACACAGCAGCAGGTGATTGGCATGTGGATGGGAAGGGACATAATGGCTGTGATGGGGAGCTCCTCAGGTTGGGTATGGGCTCCTGCTGCTGTTGTGTCATCACAGAGACTGATAGGGACCTGGAAAGAGCATCATAGATGTAAGAGATGTATCTGGATTTTCTGAGCAAGGAATATATTGGTGTCGGTCTATAAAAGCCACAAATGTAATCAGCTAAAGGTCAAAGTAATTACAGAGTCTGTGACATTTCCTTCTGGGAAGGAGGCAGCAGGGGCCATGGTCACAGTTGTGGGTTTGGAAAGTTTTAAATCCCAATCTTCCCTGTAGTTTGGTTATGCCATTAAGGCAGAATGAATAAGGAAACAATCAGTTTAGAAACAAGGACTTGGCTTACCTTGCAACCCGCTGGTGGAAATTGCTGCCTTGGGAGGTTGGGAGTGAGGTGGCTTGGTGCTGGAGCTGCAAGGATGCTCTTACCTCTGCTGGTGCCACCAGCTGGGTGGATGTGATAGTGCTAGCTGTGAAAGCATTGGTTAGAGGAATGGGCTGCCCACTGGGTACCTCTGATCTCATCCCTTCCTATTAATGACAGTTAAGTTCTTTGCTGCTTTAATCCTCAGTGACTTACTTTGCATTTTTTTGATTCAGACAGAAAAACATGTATTTATTTATTTATTTGTAATAGTGGCTGGAGGACCATTTACTGATGGCCTCTGCTGCCTGTGTAAATCAAGTGAGCTCCCACTTTGAATTCCAGTACTTGAATGGCCTTTTCTTCTTTCTCTTTCCCCAGGTGTACGACTTTGCACTATGGCCAGGACCTCCCACCAACAAGTGTCATCATCACTTTCCACAACGAGGCCAGGTCAACCCTGCTAAGGACAATTCGGAGGTAAGAGCTCTGGTGATCTCTTAAAAAATTGTGAGTGAGCTAGAGGTTTTCACTAATAAAGGCAGAATCTGTTTGCACTCATGGCAGCAGTGGGACTAGCTGCAGTCTCAGATGATGTCTGGGAGAAATTAGAGTGAAAGCTGGTCTTAGAGAAGTAGCTTTTACAGTGGGATATTCAGGAAAGTACGGAGCTGTGCTCCCTTTGCAGGGTCTAGCATGGGAAACTCTTGAGGGAGCATTAGCAGATTAGACAGAGTCTGGGATAAGAGCTTTTATATCCATCTGGGTATCAGAGATCAGCTGTGTTTTCTCCCGGTCCTCTAGGGACAGCTATCACTCTACAGATATTTGCTCTGGTAGTGCTGTTTGAGCTTCTCCAGTGACCCATCGAGTGCCAGAAAGGCTTGCTAATTGAGAAGCCCTGATGGCACACATGCAGACTAGATTTTCAAAGACGGTTTCTGTACTCCTGCGGGTCCATGGTGGAGCGCACTGGGCATGTGGCCATTCCTTCATTTGTCAGTTTGTTCTTGGCTGTGTTTTGCTGTAGTGAATAGACTAAAAGCTTCGTTTTCACAGCAGGTTTTTGAAATCAGTGTTTAATCCCAATATGCGCTTTGAATCTGCAAATTCTCTTGTGGGAAGAACTGGTGAGGTGTGCCCACCCCACCTTTGAGGGATCTGTCTCCACATCTAGGCTGGTGGGTTCCTCAGCAGCAAGCATGGGTGCACTCTGATCTGTGCCAATAGTAAGTGTGTTGCAGGTGCATCTCATGCCCACCTTGTAAGGGTTTGTGCCCTGCTGAAAGTCTTGTTTCTTAAGCCCTGGCATCCTCAGGGACCCCTTGCCATCATTGGTACTGGTCAAACTGGGGTTGCTGGTTACAGGGAGGCTTCAACCGTTCCCTGTTCACTGTCACATCCTTGCTGAGCTTTTCTCTGAAAACAGCATCCTTCCTCAGGTGAGCACACCCAGGGCCACAAGTGAGTTTGACAGTCCTGAAATTGAAATCCTTCTTTGCTTTATGGTTTCATGCCCAATCCCATCTCCTTCCTTCACACTTAATAATCTGTCACTGCCTTCTCTCTCTAGGATGTGTGGATTTTGGGTGATACTGATGCTTGGCACTCTATACCACCTCCTTGATCTTGAACCTTCTCTTTTGTCTTTACAGTGCCTTGCATAAATTTGCCATTCTCCAAACCCAATTGTAACAGAGATGGCAGGTGCAGTCCTCTGGCTCCCACTGAGATATAGGAAGCTTTAAGTGCAGGGATGGACTTTAATCTCATTTCTCCTCATAACTCAGCACTTGACTGTCCTGCCAGGTAAAATCATGAGTAATGTTGTCACATGAAAAATGTTAGATGCATGATACAGCTCTTATACCTGGATCCCCTATATCTGGCTTCACTGGAGAACTGTTCATTGCAGTAATGGCAAGGTTAGAAATACAGATAGATTGAATTTTTCCTTCTTCTGGGTTATTGTCTTCTGAAGTTTCTGATTTCCAGCTATGAAAAGACTTTCTTCCTTGTTCCTCTTATTTTCTTTGCTCAACTTGATTAGTTGGCTTTACTGCCTTCCTTACCTGGCTGCGTGTGATTTCCACCACAGTTTTGCCCATGTGCACTGCTCCTTCTTGCTTATGTGCCCTGGCAATTCCAGCACTCCTGTTTGTCTGGGAAGTTTTTCCTAAATTCTGGGGCTCCTTCTGAGCCCTCGTTCTCTTAGGTTGATCTCCAAACAATGCCAGAGCCCTGCGGAGCATTCGACTGAGCTGCACCACGGAGGCAAACCTGGGCAGTGAGGAACTGAGACGACAGCCTTGGGTCCCACGTCTTCTCTGCCTCCCCCTGGGCTGAGATCCTGAGCTGACCCTCCTTTTTCTGGTCCCCATGGTTTGGAGGTGGCCTCTTGGCATCAGGGTTTACTGTTTTCCTCCTGGATGCAGTGCACAGGGGCTTGCTTTGATACAACCAGTGTTAGGAACACCAGCCCTTGGTGGCAAGTTGTGCTGGTGACATGGCTCCTGTTCTGCTTCTCTCTAGTGGTGATTGTGCACGTATTGCCACCTCCCTGCCTCTTTTTGAATCCAGCTGAGAGCACATCTGCCTCTTTAGCCTCTGTAGGTTAATTTGCTGTGCCTTCTGACTGCTTGGTTTTTTTCCCTCTTGCTCAGCAAATACTTAGTTTAATTAGATCTTCCAGATAAGTCCATCCCACAGTGGCTGTAACAACATGGATCATTTTCCATGGCTGTTCAAAATAACCCCTCTCCTCCTGACAGTGCTTTGTGCCTTTTGGGGCAGTCTGTGGCCAAGTGCTTTGAGTGTAGTGGTGACTAAATTGGACACTTGTTCTACCCTATTCTCCCTAGTACATCTCCATGGTGCACTCTTGGGATAACCCAGGTGGATGGACTGAGAAACAGATCTGTCTGTGACTGGCAGAAGATTCTGAACTGCAAACCTGGTTTCCTGAGTTCCAGGCTGGATTTTCCAGCCTTGTCACAGGAACAATGTTTTCAGCTAATTGCCGTAGCAGGAGCAAGAAGCAGGGCAAAGGGACATTGCTTGGCTTGTCCAAAGCCGTGATGCCACAAGGCACCATCCCTGCAAAGGGGGCACTTCCTACAGGACTCCATGTAAACACAGAGGAGTGGCAGAGGGAAATGCTGGTAAAGGCACCATCTATCAGGGGAGGAAATGGCCTCTTGCAGAAGAGACTATGTATGTGATGAGCAGGAAGGATTTTGCTGTTCCTGTGATTTTCCTGGGTGCTTGAGAGCTTTAATGTTTCCTGAGTGCTGAGGCTGAGCTGTGTGGCAGGCTCAGTGTGTTTCATGTGGCCCTTGGTAGGGATGTGAGTGCACTGACCTGTGAAGCAGAGGCAGCAACACGTGGCCTCCACAGCCACCCCTTACGCAAGTCACGTTGTGTTTGGGACGGTTCGTTTATGAACATTTTGCGTTGTCAGAGCTATTGGGAAAAGCTAGTGGACTGTGTTGAATAATGAATTCATTTAAAAGTTTCATGATCTTTGACCATTTGCCAGCTGAAAGTAAAGCAGGGGGGAAAAAAAAAAAAGGCCACGTTAATCGAATGCCCAAATCTCTGCAAATGGTGTAGTCAGCACTTATAAATGCATGTGGCGCAACTATGCTTGCGAATACATACAGCTGCCCAGGTAGTAGGGGATGGCTGTCATGAGAAAGACAAATAAAAAGGGGAGAAGAGGCCAGAAAGGAGGAGATGGTGAATAGCAAAGCAGCTCTTGAGATTTTTTAGTATTTTTTTAAACTGTGCAGATGGGAGAAAGTACCATTGGGTTGTTTCAACCACTCACTTTTTGAATGACCTTGAACAAATTCCTTAATCCTCTCTGGTTTGGCTTCATGTATTTCAAGCTCCAAGTACCTTAAAGATGGTGAGAGTCTCCAACAGTACAGGGATGGGACCATGTAAGTAAACCCGACGTGGGAAGGCAGCAGCAAGGGAGAAAACAAGCAGTACAGAGGCATTTAAAATTAACACAAAACAAGCAATTTCTTCTTTCCTGTCTTTCCATCCTATGCTATCCCGCATTTAACAAGGGAATCTTAATCCTGTTGTGTGGGTGATCTGCCGGGCAGAGAGTGAGACAGTCCCGTTTACTCTGCTGAGTGGTTTTCATTTATTTATTCTTCAAACTTGCAGCTGGGGAGCTCAGAGGAGAAATAAGGAAACTTTAATTATTTACCTCTGGCTGACAAACCAAAACACATCCTTTGGCAAAAGTCCTGATGCGAGTGCTGTGAATACCGCATCAAATATTTAGGTCATTAATTAGCAGGGAGAATATCATGCCTTTCATTTTCCTGTGCTTATAAGTAAGAGAAGTGATGTCCTGGACAGCCAGCACCTCACACCTTCCTTTTATGCCACTAACTTGTCTGCATCCAGACACATCCAAGGCAGGGAGGTGACAAAGCCGCACACCTCCTTGCTTCGGCAGCGTTGGCACCATATAGAGTCTGTGCCATAACTGAAATGAGCCTGATTAGAGAAGCAAAAACAAGCCAGGTGTTGCACAGACACTGTATAATTAGCACTTTGTGCTGACTATTTTTTCATTTCTTTTTTTTTTTTTTTCCCCTGCTTTTTGCTTAAACCCTGGGCTTTTTTTTTTTCTTAATTTGCTAATCATCTCTCGTGGTGACTGAGTACACAGCCCTCCATTCGCTTTTACCTTTTGATGTTAACATAAGAGAACCCTTGAATTTCAAAGAGCTTGGTGGGTATTTGAAAGAATAAAATGCGAAAGCCGCAGTGTAATCAAAGCTCATTATGGTTATTCTTGGTGTGATGTCTCTCTTCCTACGTAATTAGCCATTTGGGGTTGTTGAAGCAGCTCATTTTGGCGGGCATTTTCTCTCTGCACTCATGGTCTGATTTCGATAATTGTGACCCTTAGCCCTTTGCACACTTTATTATACTCCCAAAGGTGGGTTTTTTTCCCCCCCACCAAGTCCAAATATGTTACCATGGAGAGAATTAATGGGTTCATGAGTTCCAAAGAATAAATGTCCACAGTCATCTCTCCAAAGCAAGTGGTATTCTGGGTGGTGACTGAAAATATACTGACTTTTGGTCAGAAGGTCTGAACTCCTCCAGGCAAACATTTTCCATATCTTATATGTCAGGGTGACTTTTGCACTGGTGTTTATTTGGAGTTGAAATTGCTGGATCCAGTACTTATCTCCAGGTAGGTGGAAAGGGATCCCAACAAATTGTTGAGGAGGATGGAAGAAGGACCTTAACAATGAAAATTTAAGGTGAAATTCTCCATGGCTAAATCTGCATAAGGTCTGCTAAATCCATTGAAACAAAGAAAATTTCAGCATTGACTTTTCAAGATAATTCAGCAGCAAATGTGGTCTTAATGGATTGAGTAAATGTAAGCACTTTCTGGACTAAAAGCATGAGTTTTCATTTCGATGGCAACAACAGGACTTGTGGCAATTTAAGGGAGAAAATGTGATCTCTGTCGCAACAGAATATAAAAGCTGTTTCATTTGTTAAAATGTGCCCATCAATGCAGTATATACCTACCTATGATTTCAGGGAAAGAAATCTATAAATAACAGAGGGACTTCAAAGCACTACAATATTGTCTTCTGATTTTACCCATATAAAAGAGGAAAAAAAGCCATGCACAGACATAAAGAAAAGAAAGTATTAAAAAAAAAAATCAAAGCCAAGCAGAGGCAAAAGTAATAGAAAAGCCGGCTTTGAATTTTTAGAAGTGCTTTTATAGTCTGTCTGAAAATAAAATTCCCGTAACGTCGAAAATGTGCAGGATTTGGTGTCTCTGTTTCCCATCCTCCCCAAGGAGTGCCGCAGGAGGGGTGTTTATAGTCTTCTGTGTTTCCAACATCATGTGCATTATCGTGTGATTAATAGAGCGCAGGAAGAAAATGTGTTGGAGTTGTGGATGTGGCTCTGCTGGAAAGCCAGTGTGCTTGCTCTTGGCTGAGTTGGGAAGTGGGCTGTGGTTGTGGTCTTGCAGCCTTTGGATCTCTTTGTGCCTGCATCAAGGGGCCTTTAGCTTATCAGCAGTTTTTGGGTTTGCTGGGGTCTGTGCACAGACTTGTGAGGGCAATAATGAGCTCAAAGCGTGCTGAAATCAGTGGACATCAGGGCTCTTAGAGCCAGCCTTTGGACCACCCTCACCAGGGTGAGTTGTTTAATGGTGTTTTGGAAAAGTGTCACGTGGTAAGGGAGTCCCACAAGAGATTTGATGGGATAGGGCTGTGATGATACAGGGTGAGGGGATGCTGTGTCACTCACACTGGTGTCTGTCATTAACCCCATGGAAGGATGAAGGTTTATGGAGCCAGACCAGCTCTTGGAGATGTCCTTTCCTTATAGGTCAGCGTGCTGGCTAAATTTTCCCTCTCCCTCTGGTCAATGCTCTGCATCCCAGAAATGGCCATTGCTGGCATTCAGGGGACATGTTCCATGACCTATGGTGTGGCACATCCAGGCACAGAGTTGGCAGCCAGTTCCTTAACCTGGGAACAGAAGGAGCAGCAGAGTAGGTGTGGGGCTACACACCTTCCCAAACCCAGCACCATGGGAATTCTCATGCTGAATTTTCTTCCATAAGAGCTGCCTTTGGGGAAATTCCTCCAAAGGCATGGAGTACCACTTAGAGCCCGGGTCTGAGTATACACAGCCTAGTGCCACAGTTTTATTCTGGCTGGTACCAGCAAAAGCAAGATTCGGCCCCTTTGTGTCTGTCTTCCTGTGGAGTTAAGCCCTGCATTGCACTTCTGGCAGCCGAATCCGTAGGGGAGACTAGGCAGAGGCAGGATTTGAATGTTCAAGTTGCCCGCTGCCTCCTCCCCTCCCGCTCTCCATGGGTTATTTATTTATTTTGCTGGCTTTTTTACAAGCCTGCTTCTTTCCTGCAGGTTTCACTGAGTTAGGTTTCCAGGCAATCAGCGCTTGTTAAATATTCCACTGAGCGTGATATTGCTCTCCTGTCTCTCTCTGCTGACGCTCGGCTGTGGTAATTTGCTGAACTCAGCTCTCGCGTGTGGGGATTTTTAAAAAATAACAAACCTATTAATAATAATAATTAAAAAACACTTGACAGGTGGAAACAGCACAACTAAATTGTTCTGTGTGCCCCAGCGGGAGGAGGGGCGCTCAGCCACTTTTTCCTAGTACTCCATGCAGGCTCTGGGTGTTGGTGAGGCGGTGTTGTCTAACTCTGCTTGGTACAAGCCGTAGTGATGTCAGGGGGGCCACAGCTGCTGTTGCACAGGGGACAGCATCTTCCTTTGCCTCCTTGCTCCAACATTAACATGCAAGGCATCTGAAGTGGGGTAAAATAATGTTTTTTGCTAAGATCCTGAAACTGGAAGAGTTTGTGTTTCCAGGGAAAGTCATACTTGGAAGTGATTTTTGAGGACATCCAGAAGGGTGGTGCCAGGCTTACCCACTCCATCTGATATGAAACCCCTTTCTTTCAGGATTTCTGCTGGGGGAAAAAAAAAACCAAAACCAACATACAGGGAGCATCCATTATATATGGAAGAAATTCTTTGCTGTGAGGGTGGTGAGGCACTGGCACAGAGAATTTGTAGATGTCCGTTTACTGGAGGTGTTCAAGACCAGATTAGCTGGGGCATCGAGTACTCTGGTCTAGTGGAAGGCATGCCTTCCCATGACAGTGGGGGCGGAACTACATGATCTTTAAGGTCCCTTCCAAACCAAATCATTCTGTTATTCTGTGATTCTGTTTCAAGCATCTGCCTTGTGATGTCCTGTACACCTTCCAAAAAATTCCGGCTCAGTTCTCTGGAGAGTTGTAATTCCAGTACCTGAAGTGTGTGTGTGGGGTGTACACCAGTACAGGCAGCCTGGCAAGTACAGGTGTCAACCTGGCAAGGGCCACCCTCTGGAGGGAGTGCTCTTGTAGGTTCTCATCAAGAAGGTTTCATCAGAGAAATGCAGCCCTTTGGTGAATGTCCTCAGATATCCAGGGGTGAGGCTGTAAGACCCTTCTGCATTTCTGCCAGTGTGGCTCCCAAGCACTCATGTGCCCTGGGGATCCTGCCCTTTGTAGCTCTCTTGACTAGGGTCTGGGCCAGGGATGTGGTTTTTCCAGATTTTCAGGTGGTTGTTTTTTTTTTTTTTTTTCTGTGTGTGTGTGAGGGGTTTTTTTGTTTTGTTTTGGGTTTTTTGTGAGGTTTTTTTTTTTTTGCGGGAGTTTTGGGAGCCTGAGAGACTGGGAAAACCTGTTGATGAGAATCTGCAGGGATTAGGGGCTTTAAGGCTGTTAGCTAGTCAGGTGACTGCCCTCTTATGCCAGTGGGAATTTTGAAGGTCTGAAGTTTGGGGGGATTTTAAATCCTGTGTGAAAAACGAACCATGCTTAGGATGAAGACAAAGAAGTATAAATGATGGAAAAGCCTGAACAACCCAACTGGCATTATCGAAGCCCAAGCCGAGCACTTAGGAGACTTTTGGGATGTCCTGGGGTTTCTGTTTCAAGAAGTCAGCCTTGACCCTTTGCTGGGGCAGGATTTTAAGCTTGTGTAATTCTGCAAACCTCTGCGCTGTGAGAGAAAGAGAAAGAACAGGTCTAGGCTTTTTAATAATAATCATAATACTAAAAAAAACCTTTGGTGGCATAATTAAGGGAAGACTGTAGCTTTCAACCATGTTTCGCAGGAATGGAGCTGTGAACCACGTCCTCCAGCCTCTCTCTTTCATTAACTAGGTGCGCTCCAACCCTGCTCTTATCCTCTCGGCAGCCTCTCAAACACAATCAGCTCATGGATAAAAACAGGAGTTGTCCTGCCGCAGCTGTGAGCTGTGTAAGGATGGGTTTGAGCTGGGTAATTTTCTCTGTGTTGGCCCTGCTGTTGCTGGACACCGTATCATTAGCCCCAGAGGAGGTGTTGGGGTGACAGCAGCTTTGCTGTAAGCCCAGCTAGGAATCTCGGTGAAATGTGCGTGTTGCTGAAAAGCCCGTTTTTCGTGGCTTTACGTGGTGCTCTGCTTTTGCTCACAAGGGTGATAAAGGTGAATCTCAGGCATTTCCCAGGAATGCTGAGTGCTTGGCTCTTAGATCAGGCTACAGGGAATTGATAGCCAGGCACTGTAGATTACTGGGGGGTGGTGGGGAGTGGTTTCTGGGCCTTATCTGGTATACCCTTTCTGGAAATCGAAGCCTGGTTTTCTGTGCTTTGGCAGAGACCAGTTCCTAGGCTTTTCCACTCCGTTTGCTGGGTTGTTAATTTGGTCAAGCACTGTCATGGATTTTCTCTCTTCATCCTTTAGCGTGCTGAACCGCACCCCAGTGCACCTCATCCAGGAAATCATACTAGTGGATGACTACAGTGATGATCGTAAGTGACCCTTTCTGTGTTAAAAGCAGGAGGCCAAACTGAAAGAGCCTGTGAGAGACTGGGATGCATGCAGAGATGGGAGAGAGTTTGCTGAAGTGGAAGGAAATTCAAAGCTGTGTAGCTGTGGAGAGCAAACCCTGCTGTGCCGGGTTTGCATCGCCACGTGGAGAATTCAAATTCCAAATGATCAAATCTCTTTTCATGAAAACCATACAAGAAAAGCGCACGGCAAATCCTTTTTATGCTTAGTAGACGTGAATCCAGTCCTTACATGGTTGTATCCTACCACCAGCCATGGTGTGTCTGATCTGACTCTCAGCTGCAGCCAGGAGCAATTCTGCATTGATACCACTGGAAATACAGGGGATAATGACAGTCTGACCCTTTGGACCTATGTATATGTGCTGCATACATTTATGGAGGTGGTCAGCAACTCTTGATTTTTTTATTTTCTTTTTTTCACCTGAGGATTCCCTGTGTGGGTTTCCCATTTCTGAGATGCACCATAAATAGCATTGTGCACCACATATCCTGCCCACATCCTCCTGCTGTTCTTTCAGTTAATAGCATGACTCAAGTTAAATCGATAGGTCTGATCTCCAGTAGAAGGTAGCTGAAGCCCCAGGGACTCCCAGGGAACCACCCCAGGTAAAGACCTTGCCCAGTGCAAAGTGCAAGTTGAAGATCCAGGGGCTGAGAGTAAGTGCTCAAAAATCCTGTCTCAGGCATAAAAAGGATGATAAACTGTCTGAGTGGTCTGTGACACTTACATTTGAAGGAGCTGCAAAATGTAGTGGTTTACTAGGAAACCTGAAAACAAAGCCAGACAGGCTTTTGAAAACATGAATCTAGGCTTTGGTCTTGGATGTTATAAATAGGCTCTGCCTCAGTGAGCATTAGGGACAGATTTCACACGAGACCTGTTTCTTGGAATTGACACCTCCCTGGGAAGTTGCTGAAGCTAGGGGATGGAGTTGCCGTGATTACGGTGAGCTTTGGAGTAGCTCTAGCACACGGGATGGGCAGACTAGACAAGCCTGTGATGGGGAAAAGGAGCAGGTGCAAGGACTTGAGCTACGCTGGAGTACAGCAGAGCAGGATTTTTGAAGGGTGGAGGAAATAATTGCCAGGTATTTGGCTAAAGAAACAAAGCACTTGCCTTCCTACAAGCATGCCAAATGCCATGAGCCACGGAGAACGAGCAGGGCTGGGTTTAAGCTCATCCCGGGCCACCAAAGGGGAGCATGTTTCCTGCGCAACTTAGAGCAGCCCCTCAGCTACTCAGCACTTCTCAGCTCTCTGACATCTTCTTTCCTGTGATAGTCTGAGCCTGCTGGCATCTGCTCTGCATGCATTTACATAAAATGCATGTATTTGCATAATACACTATACACACATGGTCAGTTTTTTCCCTGCAACCCACCCCAAACAATTAGTGCTTTTATCTCATGCCCAGTTGTGTCTCATTTCTCACCTCTCTCTGCCTGCTGGCCTTGTTATTCACTGGGATGCAGTTTTTCTGCATGTGAATTCCCACTATTCTCAGCAGAAATCCATTGTAGGTCCATAGCCAAGCCCTGCCACTTCTGCTTCCCTGTCCCAGCTCGTCCCCAAATTGCTCAGGGTATGGGTACAGCGATGTTTCTTTACCAGCAAAGATTGCTGGAGGAGATGAAAGTGCTCGGAGGTGTGTGCAGGTGCAGGGGCTGGGCAGAGGGGATGGGGCATGTGTGTGTGTGTTTATAGCAGCAAGGAAAAGGAGGCAGAGCCGTGAGAGGCATGAAGGGGTTGTGGAGGTCACAACATGAGGGTGCAGAGGTAGAGGGGACTGTGATGGGTGCATCTACCTGCAGACCCAGCTCTGGCCCTGCTCTGACATCCTCCACTTTGCTGGGAGAAATCCAGGTGAAGATGGATGCTGATGCTGCAGGCAGCACCAGGGCAAGAGCAGTGGCAGTGACTGTGTGGGATTGCAGGACCTCCCTAGCTCAGGTGTAGGTGGCTGTCAGGCCATAAAGCTGCCACCCAGAGCATAAGGAGCCCCCAGCTTGCTCCCCTTTGACTCTATTTGACCATCCCTTTCTCCTCACTGAAGCCTCCAGGCCACCACAGGAAGCTCCTACCCTGCCAACCAGACACACGTCAAACAGCTTGTGCGTTGCTTTGCAGCTACCAAAAATAGTAATTTGCATTACTGTGCAAAAAGTCAGATTCTGACCCCAACCACAGCTCTTCTGTGCTGATTTTAGAGCATAACTCAGCTGCTCTCAGTGTCAATCTGCTGAATTTACACTAGTTTCATGAAAACTGCTGCTCTGCCAGTCAGAATTTATGCTGCATGAGCTGAGGGGTAAGAGTGTTGTGACCCAGCAGTGCTATCACCGTAACAAGCCATCAACCAGTCCAGGACAGGGTCCTCTCCCTGCTCCCAGTCTCCCCTAGGACTCCCCATTTCTGCTACCAGAGCCACCCTGAGGGCTGAGGGTGACATGTCCTCCCTTTTGTGTTTCCCAAGCTGATGACTGCCGCTTGCTGGGCCAGCTCCCCAAGGTGAAGTGCTTGCGGAATGGACGGCGAGAAGGTAAGAGCTCCCTGCCACAACCCAGGTGGGATACCCAGATTTTGGGAAGTGTGAGAGCGATGGAGTCAAGGGACACCTCCATGGAGTGGCCAGCAACGAGGTCAGTGGCTCCTGGGGACAAGGGGGCCATGATAAAAGGGAATGTGATAAAGGGCTGGGATTTGAAATGGATCTCCCCTTTCTTGCTGAAAAAGAGGGGACTATTAAGATATCCAGTGAGGCTCAGCTGTAGCTTATTAGCCAGAAAATTAGAACAGGCAAAACAAAGCCCCGGGTCTTATTTGTAAAAATGTTTGCTCTAATGAAAGAGAGGAGATCTGCTCCTGCTGCTTCTGTGGGATTCTTTTTTTTTTAATAATTAATTATATTTGAAAGATTAAGAAGGGCTATATGGAGGATGAATGTATGTCCTACTGGGCTGCTGCTGGCAACCTTTTGAGACGTTTTCCAGCTCCCCATAGCCTGCATGTGTGCTTCCAAATTCTGCTTTGCAGTATTAGGAGAACAAAACCCTAAGTCTTTTCATGCTGCAAATCAAAGGTGTGAGTCCAGGCAGGCGTTGGGTTGAGGAGACTGAGGAGTGGAGATTCATTGTGATTTCTTTCTGCAGATGATTTCAGCTCTGCAGATATGGTGACAGGGTGGCATCAAATCTCATGGGTGTAAGAGACATACCTGCTTTGGCAGGAGAGTAAGGGAGGTCTCCCCAGACCCTCACCTCCTTCTCATCTTTCTGTCCTGTGTGATAGAGGTGCACATGTGCTTATCTCCAACACGTAGACCCACAGGTATTAGTGCTCTGTAAATCAGTCAGAATGTGGGAAGCCAGCCTTACCTTGCTTAATACGTTGCTAACCCAGGGTCTACATTGCTTAATACATCGCTTAAGTTGTATCCCTCAGGGCCTGCTGGGATTTGGGGAGATTTAGGGTTGGTGCAGAACACACACCTGCCCAAGAGATCTTAGGAGTTGTAGAGAGAGATACAGTGACAACCTGTATTGTAGGAGGTGACTTTGGCAAATGCTGGATCATTTCAGACTTTGTTCTCCTGTCCCTCTCCCTCCTGCTCAGAGGCTGTTCCTTGACCCTATTCCTCTAGGGAATTTTAATATGAAAGTTGGTGACCTTCTGCATGGACCTGATGTGCAACTGCTACCTGAAACCCTTGTATCTCTCTTTATCTGTCTCTATGTCCCCTCATATTGCCACTGTTACCCTTTCATACAGAAGCTCTGCTTTCCTTGAGTCACCTGCATCCCCTCTTGTTTGCCAACAGACCATCTCCTTTCTTGTGCTGCAGTTCACTTGAGCATCAACTGCATGCAGGAGGAATGCTGAAAAGCTTTTTAACTCCTGCATAAATAGGAACAGAGCATCTTTAAGAGCAACGATTTTGCTGAAGAGTCTAGTGTGAAATCCATGTGTGCAGCTGCCTTTCATGACCTCCCTCTTTTTTCATTTTTCTCTCTCACAAACGTGTACAGCAATCCACTCCCATCTCCAAAGGATTCTAAATTCACCATCAGGGCCCTGATGAGCCCAGTGGGCTTCTTAGCACCTTGAAAACCAACTCTGTTTCCTTGGTAGAAAATGTGTTCCCACTGAGCTGCAGATCTGCAAGTGCCTCCAGGGCAGGAGAGAGATCTTGGGGTCACTGGGACACAGAAAGGGGCACAGCAGGGGAAAGTTCACAGTCTAAGAAAAGCTTAGTTCTGGCATGAAGTGATCCCACCCTCATCTCCCCTGGTGCATTCCCCGCTGCCTTACCTCTGTATTAGATTTATTACCTGAAGGGGGTCATGAAAGCATTTGAGTCATGTTTTGCCCCGGAATGTGACAGCAGAATTAATTGTGCAAATTAAGGATTGGCATAAATGGCATAAATCATATATCTTGGTGGAGCCATTTATTTGCTTTGGGGACCTTAGGAAGTGGTTAGCATACCTTGCAGCATCAGGAAGGAGGCAATGAACCTGGGCTGTGTTTTATCTGAATGAGGTTCAGGCAGATCAAAACCCAGGGAATGCATGAGTGCAGGAGACCATGCTGGAGGAGCCTGGGGGTGCTACCCAGCCATCTGGACAGCAGCTGACGTGGTGTGTCCCTGAATAGGTCTGATCCGGTCCCGAATCCGAGGGGCAGATGTGGCAAAAGCAGGTGTCCTGACCTTTCTGGACAGTCACTGTGAGGTGAATAAGGACTGGCTGCTCCCTCTGCTGCAGAGGATCAAAGAGGTGAGTGTTCCTGAGAGACCAGGATCACCCTCAGGGGGTGTATCAGTGATGTCCACCTCCTCTTCCCTCTCGATGGGCGTGACCGTCCACCCATAACCAACTGCATCTGAGTAAGGAAGCGATGAACTTTTGGGGTACAAAGTGGCCTTTTCTGGTCTTCCTCCACCCAACAACCAGATGAGGTGTCTCTGTGACTGGGAGAGCATGTGGGTGGGTGGGAGAAGGTGTCTCCTAGGGCAGTGGGACTCTTAACTAGCAAGCGCAGGTTGAGTGGTGAAAGGGGAATACGTGGGCAGTGCTCCAGCAGAGTTTTTAATTAGGCTCATGTAAAATGCTCAGTGATGATGATTTAAGGGAGTGACGGCTCCTTGAATAGGGGCCGAATTTAATTTCATGCAAATTAAACTCTAATAAATTGATTTAATAGGATTTAAATTCTGCTGATTTCGGAGCAGACAATGACATTCTCCTTTAGCCGCCGGCGACTCTCTCACCAGACGTGCACACAGAGGTTTCCCGGTGCCTTGGCACTCCAGTCAGGGGAAGCTCTGTGCTGGTGACCTGCTGACACCAGGGTGCAGGGGATGAAGCCTTCAGCTTCAGTACGGATGCATGATCCTTTGCCTTCTCCGTGCCTTGTTCCTTCACCCTTGTTACACCTCTGGCTCCTCATTGCTAGTGTTTATTACTCAGTGGTTTTAAAATTACTGAACTATATTGACATAAGGGCATCTGAAGGGCAAGGGAAAGCTGAGGTGGTGGGTCATGGAGAAACCTGCCTGGCTGGTGTTCACGGTGCCCCTCATCCAAGGCATCCTGCTTTTCACACCTCTATATGTGATAGCTGTTCTGGGCTGTCCGTCCCTCTGCAGCAGGAGAGGGCTGTCGGTGCTGCCAGTGCTGGAGAGGTCCCAACCTTGGTTTGCAGGCTGGGCCACAGTGCTGCTGATAAATGGAATTAAAATGGTCTTTTCATATTATCAATTGCAGCTCTGGTGCCATGTGCAGCATCACCATAGGAGTTCCGCTGCCTCCTGGTTTGAATACAGCATTAAATGCACATGTCACCTCTGTGGACTCTTTTTATTTACTCTTCTGAACTGAATCTTTCTCCAGTTGGAAGCCGGGTGGTGTATAAGCTTGCAGTGCTGCTCATGCTGCCCTCACCTTGCCCACTATCTTGCAGTCCCAGGCAGCAAGTGAGACACAGTACAAAGAGTGCCGAGGGACTTGCAAAGCAAGGGGAGTCCCACTTGCTTGCTTTTTAACTGCTCGCAGGAGCTGCAGGATAAGGGCAGAATCCTTGATTTCCTTCTTCCCAGGCCCACTGTACCCATCCTTTCCATCAGGGTTAAAATATTGATCAGTGAAGTGTATGAAATGTTACTGCTGCCACCTTCAGGCTGTGCGCAAGAGATGGGTTCCCTGTCCAACCGCTCCGTGAGGATCAGCCACCTAGGAAGAGCACTTTCTCCTTCTGCTTCTCCTAGGAACAATCTGTTTTGAGCTAATGTGATTTAAGTTCCAAGCAAATGGGTGCTGAGTGCCTCAAAGCACCGCTGGGCACTTTTGCCACCGCCAGCCACCCACCCCTGCACATCACTTCCCTTGTTTTCTCAGCCAGAGCAGCTATTCCTGCAGTTTCCATGGCAGAAACACCAGAGCCCACGTGTGCCACCGTGCATCCATGTGAAAGTGCCCCTCAAGCTTTACATCACGCTTTCCCAGCAGCCGATGGTATCCCCCGAGTCTGACATTCACTTGTGGGTGTGGGCAGCACATACCCAGCGCAGGGATTTGGAAACAAGCAGCAAAAGCAAGTGATGGAGTGTGGGGGAATGAGGGGGAGTCTGGGGGGTCTCAGACCTGTGTCTGGGAGGGTGTGCATGCCAGGGAGTGACAACGATGGTCGATGTCTTGCACCAGCATGTTTGCAAATGCATGACTGAGAGTGCGTGGGCTCTTGTTTTTACTTATGGAACAAACATCTCTGAAGCCATTAATGGTGCATTTCAAGTGAATAACTTTTCTAAAAATGTAATTATGCAGCCTGAGGTATTTTTACAGTATGACTCAACTGGATTTGCAAATGGCACTGGGATGAACCAGTGAATGGTGACCCCCCCCTACTTCCAGCTCAAATACCTCTCCAGTCGGGTGATCTCTTGGGAAGGGGAATGCACATGAGGGACAGCTTGGCCCTCTTACCTTGCTTGATCCTGCTGTGAGGCCAGAGGAGCAAATGTGGCCCTTTTTTGTTGACCATTACAAGGTCATGATGTAGAGACTGGGAGACAAGCTGCAGCCAAAGTCCTTCTCCAAGGCTGAAATGTACCTGTTACCTTCAGGACCATTTTCAGAGTTTTTTGCTGTTCATTTCGATCCATACATTCGTATGTTTGAGAAGTGAATAGGAGAAATGAATTCTCGGGTTTATGAAAAAGATTGAAGGTTTGAGTGTTGTTAACATTAACATGTCCTGCCATGGGTGGGTATCAAAAAAACAGAGAGATGAAGCTGCCTATAATAAGATTGGTGCTCAGCCCAAAATAAATCATAGCAACAACGCTGTGCTCTTGAGCATGCCATGCTTTTCTTTTGAGGGTCAGACAGACCTTGACGAAAGCTGAGTAAATATAAATGTTCTGAGGACGTGGCAGGGAAAGTGAGGCAGGGAGAAGACAGCACTGCTCAAGGGTAGCGTTTTGCAGTAATGCACTCAGCCCAGATGTGAAGGGGATTTTCTTACAAGAAGTTGTACTGTGCAATGAGTAGCAGTGGAACTGAAATTGGGGATGAGTGTCAGCTAACCAGAAGTGCTCACCATTAAGATGCTTGAGGGGCAAGTTTTAAATGAGTGTATATAATCTTTTCCCTGTAATGTTCAGCACACAAAGCAGATGCTTTGCTTAAAACCTTTCCCCTACCCTGAGGCAACCGAAGGATGCTTTGCTGTACTGGGCTGTGGCAGCTTGGGGGGCACTGTGCAGCAGCCACCATGGGTTTGATGGGTTTGAAAGGCTCATTGTGCTTGGATGTATCTTGAGTTTCTCCATGCAATACATAGACACAGCAGACCTTGCCTTTTCAGTGAGATGTTTGACTCACAGAAAATGATGGTAAGACCCCTGACTTGACCTTGTTATGGAAATACCAAGTATTTGTCATGCTCAATTGGAAAATCGACTCTAGTCCAGCTGCCAGCTCATGGCCTTTGGTTACTTCTTCCTACAGCTGCATTTGAATACTCCTTTGTCAGGACTAATTTCTAAAACAAAGTCTTTTCCCAATGAGAGAGCAAGCCCGTGTGTGCTCAGATGCTTTCCTTTGTATGGCTGTGAAAAACAATTTGATCTAGTGAGGGTAAAACCTTGAAGTTTGAGCTATAATTGGAGTTTGGGATTTTTGAAAAGAAAAAGGGAGATAAGAGACCAGTCAAAGCTGTCAGAGTCTCTTCCTCCTGTAGATATTTTTGTTCATAACTGTTTGTATAATCTCTTTGCCCATAACAAGATGTTAATGAAATCACCACCAACTATTTTAAATAAATCAGGTCTTCTTTTTTTAACCCTTTCACACCTTTGGCAAAACTCTTAACTGTATTGCCATAGTTTGTGCATTTTAAAAAATACCTGTATTTGAGCTGTGTTTTTCCTCTGTCATTTCAATTGCCTGTTTGTCACTTGATTTCTGAAATCTGGCTAAAAGGGAGGTGAAAGGGGAATACATTGGTGAATTTGCAAAAGGCAGAAGGAACTTTGCATCCAGCCCTCCAGCTTGCGGAGGGTGAGACTGCAGGTGAAGCCCAAACTGGTGGGAGATGCCAGCTCAGCAGCCCAGAAGCACACAGCCCTCTTTCCCAGGACAGACAGTGCCTGCCTTTCCAGCCTCTCTTGCTGACATGCACCTGGCTCCCAGCAGTACCTCTGCCACTTGGTGCTGCAGCCATTAATTCCTTGGCTGAATTGATGTGATGGCTGAGGAGGAGAAGGAGAAGGCAGTGATGGGCACTGATCCCTGACAAACCTGAGTGACACCAACATTTCCAGCCACCTGATGTCTGCAGCAGTTTGGAGAATCCCTCGACCAGTTTGAGTGGTGTCATCTGAAGTCATATGTCTTCTCGGTCCTGCTTTCCAGGATCCCACCCGAGTGGTCAGCCCCGTGATTGACATCATCAACTTGGACACTTTTGCTTATGTGGCGGCATCCTCAGACCTGAGAGGAGGTAAGTCCCAGAGTTGTGCATGGCCTGTTGGTGTCCATCCATGGTGTGAGCATGCACTGGCCTGAGGAGATGGTGACTTTGCACCACACCTCTGGTTTCTGCTGCCTCACAAAAAAAGCACGTTAGCGCTGTTCAGTGCTCCCCGCTGGCTGTTTCCCGGCTATTCTAGAGACAGGTGGGCATGGCGTGAGGAATGGTGTTTGCTACAGTGGATAAGGCAGTCGAGTGGGAAAGAAGGGTCATGTCAAAGCCACCCTGGGCAGCACTGAAAGTGACAGGAGGAGATGGGGAATGTCTAGGCAATAAATGAAGGGTGCAACTGTAGCACTTATTGGTATGCCTGTGCTATTTGTAGCATGCAGTAGCCATCAGAGCGTGTGTCTGTGTGCACAAGGGGACTAAGTAAGGTTTCAACAGCAGCTTTAATTCTGATTTTTCCTGCCTTTGGAGTGCTTGACTTTGCAATTGTAATGCAATGTGTTGTTTCTTGTTCATATGTAGTAGTAAAATATGTTAGTGATTGGACTCTTCTCCCAAAAGCTGCATCTCTGTGGCTTAAGTCATTTGAAAGTGGAAAAAATGCTTCACCAAACACAACTTCTGCATCCTGCATTGCCTCCCAATTCATACCAATTTCTAATGTCCCCATGGCACTTCTCTACTTTGGTTTAGGTTTTGACTGGAGTTTGCATTTCAAATGGGAACAGCTTTCCCCGGAGCAGAAAGCCAAAAGACTTGATCCCACCGAACCCATTAAGTAAGTCAAGAAGGGGTAGGAGGCACCTGTGGGGCAGGACAGGCTTCTCCTCTGACCTCATGTGTGTCCCCATGCACCATAGCAGTGTGTTGCTTCTTCCAGGACAGCTCTGAACTTCTAATACCTATAGCGAGCTTCTGACTAGCCTGGGTTTTGCAGTACAGCTTCACCCTCAGCACTGAAGCCTGAGAGTGCCACAAAGGTAGAAGGGATATATTTATTGTTATTGATTTTTGGTAATGCTAAGGATTGTGGTTAGGGAAAAGCCCAGTGCTGTAGACTACTGCTTCTCTCAGCTCAGCTGTCACTTAAAAATAAGGCGGTGTCCTTGGCCCACGTGATAAAAACACGGTGTCTAGGCCAGTCTTTCCAGATCAGTGCTGCTTGTCTGGACCTCACTGAAGACTCCTCAGAAATGGGGGTGCAGGAGAGAGAGCAAAACCGAAGAGGAGAGATGCCATCTGTCCTCATGCCGTGGGATGGAGGGAGTTCTTCGCTCTGCTGAAAATCTCTCCTGGCAGCAAGCCTGGTGCTGGTGTCTGCAGCCCCATCCATGAAACGCTGGGGTGTGAGGCATGGAGGAGACTTGTGCCAGGGAACAGCGATTCTCCTCAAGCTGTCTTCTGGGTCTACCCTCCCCTCCTCCATGGACCTTCTCTGTGCAGTTTTCTTAGCTAATCCAAAGTCTGAAAAATAATCCTGTTTTGAAATAAAGATCACACAGCTAGTGACGGCTTTTAAAAAGCCATTCTGAATTGGCTCTGCCTTCCTCTCCCCAGTGGAATGGTGCTCTTAATAGGCTGGCTCCAGGCAAAAAGCCGGTCTGAGTGAATAACCCCCCAAGTGCTAAGTGCATTTTGGATGCTGAAGCCTACAATCAGGGCTGTGAACTTTGGGCTTGTAGGAGTTGTACTAACGGGTGCATTAGCCAGTCATTAAGTGCCAGGCAATTTATGATTGACAGCAAAATACCAAGGTAGCAGAAAGAAAGGCTCAGATGCATTTTGAAGTATATTGTCCATTTTTTTTGGTGAGAAGAAAGTACATAGGTATGTCCCAGTGGTGGAAAAGGAGGCAAAGGGAAGGGCAGGTTCTGTGAAACCAGGTGCTGAGGCAGTGTTTGAAAGTGTGTCCTCTCTTTCTTACCCATTCTGCAGGACACCCATCATTGCTGGAGGGCTGTTTGTGATCGACAAAGCCTGGTTCAACCACCTGGGGAAATATGACAGTGCCATGGACATCTGGGGTGGGGAGAACTTTGGTGAGTCGTTCTTGTTCCTTCTGTGCCTTGCTGTGTTGGTTTCTCTTTCTGAGCCATGCCAGGTGGACACAAGGTCATTTTGGACTTTGCTTTGAATGCTCTGGATGGTTTCCCTCACTTACATTCATAGGTTATGTTCTCAGCAGTGCAAGGGATCCAGCAACCATATTGTTGATGGGAATGATGGGAGGTGAGCAATTGCTGGGACTCAGGACTGCCTGTCTTCCATGCTGCTTTGATGTTTTGTAGGTAAATACCCTAAACCGCAGAGTTTTCAGCTTTGATGTTACCCTTATATTCTTTCCTGATCTTATTTTCCCCTTAATAAAGCAAAGATGTGTCTTATTCCATTACCAACAGCATTTCAAAACTGTGAACTGAGGCCTCAGTGCCTCCTTGAATTTGCAGAGTAACTGGAACAGTAGCTACCTCAGCATGCTACAAACAGGTGGCAAAGTAACACAACTGCTTATCCATTCCTGTGTCACTGACTGGCTGAATGCTGCCAGGCTCTCACTTTTCCTGCACCAAAAAGAATGGGTTAAGAGCTGACCTAAATTCAGTCACCTCTGCCCCTTATCATGGAACAGGATGGACATTAAGAAATCTCCTGCATGCAAACTTGAGAGGGCACATGAAAGAGGTAACAGCCTGTCCCTTGTCCTCCTTGTCAGGTGGAGCTGGATCAGTTTTGGTTGTTCTCTCTTTGAAGCTGTAGTTGTATCCAGGAAAGAAGAGGGAGGCATTCGATGTCAGTGAGACAGATCAGAACCTGGCTTTAATAGCTTGCACCCCTGGGGAGTATGGCTAGCCAGGAAGGAAGGATCTTGTGTCTGAACACATGCAGCGATGCTGTCAGTCATCCAAGGGAACAGATGCTGCCACCTTGCAGTAATCCATTCACTGCCTGGCACTGTTGTTTGCTTCACATGCCTTTTCCCCCTAGATATATTTCATTTAGTTATATCTTGTTGTGCAGTAGGATCTCACTCCTTCATGCTTTCTCTCTGTGGGTGGGTATCTTGCCACCAGACTGACTGAGAGTGTCTGAGTGGGGTGGCTCTGAGGAAACCAAAGAGGGGAGTGACAGCCCTCCTACCTCCCCCGCTGAATCAATAGCCCAAACAAAGAAGGGAACTAGACAGGAAGAGAGGTGAAGAAGGACTGTCACGCTGTGTCTGAGCTGCTGTCGCTGCTTGTCATTTGCTTCTGACAGCAGCCAGCCCAAACTGCTCCTGGGAGATGAACAGTGGCAGGTCAGCCTGCTCTCAGGGGAAGCTCCATCCTGGTAGCTTGTCCAATGGCCTGTAATGGCAGGCATTGTGCTTCTTACATGTGGTTATGGCCCATCTTACAGAGCAGAGCACAAGGTTTCCCTCACTGCTGCTATGCCCCAGAAGGCTGGTCCCAGCTGAACGTACAACTGGCCATGCTGCAGGGTGTGCCAGGACATTGGTGTGACAAAGGAAAGCCAGACAGGTTGACTTTGCAACAAAAAAGTACAGTTCTGCATAGCAGCAGGGCAGATCCTCTCTTGCCCATCACCCTGAGAGCAGAAGTGTGCCCAGCTCACAGCTGCATCTCCTGCAGGCACAGTGGTCGAGGGCAGTGTGTCCCATCTCTCCTTTGCACATAAGCAAGGGCAGCTGAGACCCTCCTGGGCCCAGTCAGTTCTGGGCAGGTGATGAAGAGCAGGAGCTGACTAAGCAGCTTCTCATTTTGGGCACTTCCAATGAACCATGCTTTTCCTGGTAGCTTAGTCCTGAGGGGATGCAGTGCTCCGGTCCTGAGAAGCATCACTGCTGCTTTTAATGTTATTGACTGTGCAACTAGAAGGGGCTGGAGACTGTAGGCAAAACAAAAATGAGTGTGTTTGTGTTGGAAGGAAGACATTGTAGGTGTTTTGCTTCTTAAATGTACTTAATTCCCTCTAGATGAGTAATGGCAGAAAGGATTTGCAGGCCAGCAAGAAATGCTAAAGATATTTTGCCAAGTGAAGGCCAAATCCAGCGCACCCCAATATGCGCTTCCCACATCTCTCCTGGGGGTTGCGTGGAGGGACCACCTGCACTGGCAACATCTCTCGAGGGTCAAGTGATGCACACTGTCATTTCCTATTCCCCTGGTTCCTCTGAGTTGACCCTGTGCCAGGCTTTAGATGGTGCCTCAGTTTACCTTCTCTTGAGGTACTTAGCTCTTGGCTACCTGTCTGGAGACCCTGTTTCTTAGCTGCCATGAGTGACTCCCTGGGTCATCCCTACTGGAGGAAACCTGTGCTTTAATTGTTTCTGCTGGACCTAGAGCAGGGTCTGCAGGGTACAACTAGTCTGAAGCAGGGAACTCAGAGTCCTTACCTTCTCCTGCCTCCCCAGCACTGTGTCCTCAGTCCAGTTTGCAGTGCACAGAGATCACGTCTTCATTAGGCTTTAACTTAGGACCAGGGGAGGACTGAGTGGTGCTAGTCTTTGCCTTGTAGCACTTCATGGAGCTACTCTTCTCCCAGGCTGAGCAGAAGGACCAGAGGAGGGGAAGGCATGATGGAGTAGCCATGTTGTGGTCCAATCCACAGCTGCTCGTCTGGTTGTTCCCTTTTATTGGGCATCCTTCTAATTTACACATCAGAGTGGCCAGTGCTGTGACACACAGACAAATGAGAGCAACAGCCACATGCAAGGGGAACCGAGCAAAACAGTTTAGAGTGGCCATATCCTGCCGTAATCTCATTTCCCTGCAGCTGTGATTAAGGTTGCTCCCAATACAGCACCAGGGCATGACACAAAGGCACGTTTTATTGACTTGTTAATACCCAGCACTGGGGAAAGTGGTGAGGCTCCAGCTGCTGTTGCAGTTCTTGCATGTAAACACAGCAGTGAAAGGAAGGGCAGGGAATTTCTTGAAAGAAATACTCCTGCCTGCCGTGCTTTCCCACCCCTGTCATTGTTTGTCCCTGCTCCCAGTACCAGCTGTTAGGGATGGGATCAAGCCTTGAATTTTGGGCCCACTCACCAAGGCTTTGCAGCTGCGTCAGCCTCCCATTTCCATCAGCTCAGGAGCAGATGGGTGTGTTGGGAGTGGGATGGGAGCAACATGAACCTGGCTTCCACCTCTGCAGCAACATGCAACTTGGCACTGAGCCATGTGTGCTGAGAAGGCTTTGGAGGTCCAGACTCCAGTTTGCCTTTGCTCCCTGAAACTGTGAGTTGTTTTTGGAGGGATGGCAGCTTTGTGGGCCAGCAGTACCTGCCGTTGGAAGAGGAGGAGGCCTGTCCACATTGTCCAATTGGCCTGCCTGCCACAGGTGCTTGTCTTGCCAGCATCCGACCTGGGGACAAGTCATCCTTGTGTTGGCATATGTGAGGGGACTGCTGGGAGCACAAGCTGGCAAAGATGGTGGGTGTCCTCCTAGCTTAATTCTGTAGTTAAGTGGGGGGGGGATGTGAAAATGAATTATAAGTTTTGGAGTAGATACATGCTACCTATAGCTCTATACTGTCAACAGATGATAAAATAGGATTCAAAGAACCACAGAAGCCTTTTCATTTTAATTTCTTTAATTTCTTTTCCATGCTTGTTCTGTCTGACTTCCTGACAATAGAGCTGCAGATTCATAGCTTCATAAACATTAGGGCCAGATGGGCCCATTAGATCAGCCATTCTGTTCACCCATCCTACCTCATCCAACTCCCTGCCAAGAGCTCTCTAACTTCTGGTGTCAATTGTGCCACAGGCTCACTTTCTTTGAGAAGAGCCCCATGGGCCAGCCAGTGAGTGGCTTGGAGTGACTGGGAGTCATTTCCCATACTGACAGTTTATCCAGACTTTTGAGATAATCCCTCCCACCACTGACCTTTGCTTGTGTGAGGATGTGTGCCATACTGGACCACAACATTGACACCAATGGCCCAGAGTACCTGGGCAGGGTAAACTCTAGTCCATTTTGGGACAGGCGACGGATGCACAGCTCTCTGTTCAGTTTGCAGAATCAGTGCTGGATTCATAAAGAAAATGACAGTTGTAGTCATTAATAAAGAGAATTCATAGCCTCTCGTGGTGAACTTGACAGCCCTTTGGAGGGAAGTGACTCTGAAATAGTGCAGAAGTAATTAGGGGAGCACAAAACTGGCAAGATGATTCTGCAGTGTAAGTGGGGCTGCATGAAAAGGGACCTGCTTACTGTCTCATGCTTGCCATTGTGATAGCACCTGCTGTGCTAGAGGCAGGTTTCAAGTGCACTGACTTCAAACAGCTTTCAAGAAGCTTTGAAATGCACTTTTAAGGCAGTTGTGCCTAGGAGAGCCCCTCTGGTAATTGATTTACCCCAGTTTAATGTGGCAGGGGATGAAGTGAGAGCTAACACTAGGATCCAGACTGCTCTAGGACAAAAAGACAAAATGCTGAAGCTGCTTCTCTTGTAGAAATCTCTTTCCGTGTGTGGATGTGTGGAGGGAGCCTGGAAATCATCCCCTGCAGCCGTGTTGGGCATGTCTTCCGGAAGAAACATCCATACGTCTTTCCAGAGGGAAATGCCAATACATACATTAAGTAAGTGGCTCTGTTTTATTGTGAAACAGAATGAGGAGCTGCCTTGTAGGGAGGGGAGAGAAGAGAAGACATGGAGGAAAGTTTGTTTAGAAAACTCTGAGTTATCCTTGGGTAGGAATTTCCTCAACCAAAGAACACGCATGTTGATACAACTGTCCCACAGGATTTCTACAGTGTCGAGAAAATGACAAAAGTAGGACATTTATATGGTACCTTTCATCAGCACAGAAATGGAGGAATGGCCCCAGCGCATCCCTGAGCACTAGGTACTAGAACAGCAAATGATTTGCACCTTGAGGTCATCAGAACACATTTATAATGACCTGAAATCAATGTCTCTCAGTACCCAGTGACCTTAGCTGAGGGTTCAGCATGGCTCAGCTGAACCGGAAAATTTGGTTCCCAAGGTCTCTCCAAGAGGGGAGTCAAGCATCTTGCTGGAGTGGGTGGCTGTGCCTCTGGACTGGTGCTGTCTCTTGAGCAGAGGCAGCAATGGGCTGCACCTTGCTGGCATGGACGCTGTTACAACTGCCAGGACATCCCAGCTGAAGGGGACCTCTCCTCAAACACAGAAACATAGGCTGAATCAGGTACTGAAATGGCTGGCTGAAATGGGCTAAGATCCTGAAAACATGAGGCAAAGAAGGCGGCAATCCAGAAGTGAGAATAAGCATGGAAAGTTGATGGGAGCAACTAATGAGGTGGGGAAGGATATCCTCTGTTTTTAGAGTGTGAGGCCGAAGGTTGTTGCTTAAGTAAATGACAAACACCAGGGGCACTTACACTAAATGCAGGGTTGTTTCTCAGCTAACCTGCAGTTGTGAGTGCTTACACACCAGGCATTCCTTTTAGTGCAGGCTTCCCAGTGTTAGAAAGAGCCAACAGCATTTGTGAAGACCCAGGCTCTCTGCAGCTTCCCCATCCTTTACATGAGACAACGAGACTGAGGGAGTGCAAATGGCACTTCTCAGTTACACCTAATTCATGGTTTCCAGCCATGCAGTGTATGGGGCAGGAAGGGGACCTTGTCGCAGGAAGAGGACCTTGTGAGGGGCACAGGGCATTGCTGGCATCAAGGAGAGCAGGAGTTTGAGAGTCATGAGGAGGGCTCTTGCCTTTAGTATTAAAATAAGATTCATACAGAAGAGGCTGGGATGTGGCAAAATCTCCACCACTGAAGTCGCTGCAAACCTGAGTAAAGAGGCAGTGTCTGCGTTGCATCACCTGCAGGAGGAGCAAGGAGAGCTTGAATGCGTACAGCTCTCCTGGCTGCTTCTCAGGCACAGGCCTCTGGGGACCTAGGGGATGCCTGTGTCACTTAGGTGTGAGCCTCATCATTTATTCCAGTGTTTCTTGTAAACCCAGATGAGATCAGGAAGACAAACAAAAGAACCCTGCCCTTTGGGGAAGGTTAGGTACAGATGTAGACACTGATTCAGTCATCTCTTGAGCAAGAGCACTTAAACTATTTCCTTGGAGAGAGGGGAAGAAGCTGGTGAATCAGCAAGGAACTGAAAAGCAGTCAAGAGAAACATACCTGTAGACATCAGGAGCTTGGATGTTATTAACCCTATGATATCCATCAGCCTTAAACTTAATATTATAGTGTATATACTGAGAGGAGAAGCAGCTTCTGGCAACCTGATGCCATGTAGTACTTCTGTTTCAATAGAGATGTTAGCAAAAAATATCTTCACCCTTCTTCCAGATCCTGATTTTTTTTTCCCACACAGCCTCTACTTCAGAGTGAGCTCAGGCTCCAGTGTAGTACTGGCTTCACATGCTGACTGTCTCCTTTTCTGGCCTCCTGGGGCTTGGCTGTATCCAGAGCCTGCCCATGGCACCTGCAGTTTAGTGGTGTGGTAACAATAGCTTAGAGGCATAAGCCTGCCTTGGAGCAGGAGACTGGAGGACTCTGCTGGCCTGGGCTTAGATAGGGAGATAGACATGGAGCAAAAAAGCCATTTGCAAGAAGAGTTAGAGACATCTGAAGTCAACAGAAGACTTGCTGAGGTTCATAAACCTGCAGACGCTTGGCTGATGTGAAAGACTGATATTTATGCACTGTGATGGGGTGGTTCCTCTTAATTTTTGAATGCTGAGGTTTGCTTCAGTGAAATCCAGGAGTACAATACAGGATCGACTCAAGGGAAATATTTGCAAATCTTTGGCAAATTTTTCACCATTTTCCGAGCTCCATCCAAGCCACTAAATAAAACACTAGACACCCTTGCCTGGGACATGATGCTTAAAAGAACCTTCAGTTCTGAGTCTGGTGGATACAAGCTTTATTTGGCCTGATGAGTTTGGTCCCTGGAGCAGTGAGGACCTTCTCTAGTAGTAAGGAGGGGCTATCTCAAAGGTGGTTTGGGTGAGACCAAAGACCAAGTTGAGGGTGGGAAGAGAGCAGGATGGATCAGTTGATGCATTTTGGAAAATATCACCTTGGCAGCTTCCCTGGATTCACCTGTCTTTTGCTTCCTCCTTCAGAAACACCAAGCGCACCGCGGAGGTGTGGATGGATGAGTTCAAGCAGTACTACTACGCAGCTCGTCCCGCAGCCCAGGGGAGGCCTTATGGAAAGTAAGGGTCTTCCTCTGCCTGTGCCATGCCTGTGCCCTTCCTGTGCCCTGCCTGCTGCAGTGGGGTGTTCACGGTGACGTTGCTCTGCTGTGGAAACCCGCCTGCGTTGTTTCTGTAGTAACGCTCAATTAAATGCTAATGGCAGGCAGATGCTACGAGCACAGCAGTGAGACCTATAAACAGCCAGTTTATATGCTGTGCTGGTTCATCCCAGGGAGTGAACCAAACCCAGGTGGGGGAAAAACCTTCGCCTGTGTCCCACCCTTGGCATTAGGTACAAGTACTTCTGGTCCCAAAGCAGAGATTGGCAGGAGAGTTCAGAGCTTTTGTTGGTAGCTGAGGGGAAGGAAAATCATCAATTTTTTGGCCTGCTTAATGCTTTTTTGAAAAGGAGCAAGTTCTTTGTATGCAGAGAGTTTGCCATTCATTCTGTGAACAGTCAGAAACACCTCCCTGTCAGGAGGACTATAAATATTTGTGTTATATTTCTCATTTTCATATGCTCCTCCTTGCCTTAGAAAGTTCCTTTGGACCACAGGCGGTTTCCAAATCCAAACCCAAATTCCTTGTAGCTAATCTTCAATCTCCAGGACAAATAAATTGAAGTCCTGGTGACTAACCTGTTTGCACTGAATTAATATCTTACTCCCATCAATCAGCACCAAATGAAGTAACAGCTCTGTCCCGCTTCATATAGGAGGGTGTAGAGAAGTTAGCCTAAGCGAAAGGAAGGTTCTGGAGGCTTCCAAGTACTCTGTAAATGCCAGCTCATAACAGCTCATAACAGCTCCACAGGCTGGCCTAGGGAGGAGCTGGAGTTTGGAAAATGTCACTGTACAGCATGATCCCTCAGCAGAAATTTTGTCATGGTTAATGAAAGAAAAAAGTATTTTACTGTAAGATTAGCTTCTGCTGATTTAAAAATGTGTTTAGGTGCTCTTGGAAATCAAGGCCTCATGTAGCCCTGTAAACTAAGAGTAACTTAGTATAGCAAATAGCATGTATTAATTTCCTTGTACATTAATATATTAAAGTAATGCTTATTGAATATAGTAGACAGCATACATTTTTTACTAATAATTTTTAAATTACTGTACTTTTCCATTAATCTATTTATCCGCCCAACTTCAGACTCCTTGTTAAAATGGCAATATGTCATCATGCCATTTTACCAAGTGAGACCTCCAAAGGGATGGAGATCAAAACAACTGCTCAAGCTCATGCAGAAGAGTGCAGAAAATAAAGCTGCTGATGCTCTTGTGTTTGCTGTCTATGTGTATCTATTGGGTTTCTCTCAGCCTCTCTATCTGGTGTGTTGGGTCTCACATTCTTCATTTCCATTGCATCTCTATGATGTTTTCTTCCCACAGTGTCCAGAGCAGAGTGGAGCTGCGGAAGAAGTTGAAATGCCACAGCTTCAAGTGGTACCTGGAAAACGTTTATCCTGAACTTCGGTACGGATGTGCCATCTCCACCTGTCTCTCCAGTGGGATGCCCCATCCCTCCTGCCCCACAGAGCTTTCCTCTTTACCTCCAGTGCCCCCCATGTCCCCCTGCCCCAGAGACTCAGGCACCCCCTCCCTTGGGCTTCACAGAAGGGCAGCGTAAATTTTGTGCTGGCTTCAAACACAGCGTGACATGCTGCAGCACCAGGAGTTGGACTTCAGATATCCTTGTGGGACCCTTCCAACTCAGGATATTCTGTGATCCTATGATTTGTGATCCTGCTTTCTCTAAACAGTCTTATAGACCCTGTGGCTCCTTGCTGCAGGGTTGGTGAGGGGCAAAACACCAGTTATTCCCATTTGCTCTCGGGGATTCATTAGGTGTCCTTCTGCCCATGCTGTGGGACAGGTTGCATAGGGAAGTAGCTAGTTTTCCTTTCAAAAGTATCCCAAGGTAGAAAATCCACCATAGCCTCTGCTGGGCTGTTTCAGTACTTAATGGCTCTCGATTACTAAAGAAGCACCTAATTTCCAGTCCTTTCACACTGTTCTGTGGTACTCAAGACTTCTCTGTTGTGAAACCATCCACTCTAGGATTTTATGACTTGTATTCAGATTGCTCTGCCTTGCTTTGCTTAATATCCACTTCCACAATTGCTTTTGTACAGGTATTTTTTAGTTACCAAAATTACTCTAGAAACCATTGCATTCATTCCCCTGGTCCCTATCAGGAGCCATCCCCAGAAAGGGTGGAAAAGTTCTGGAGATACTGCGGGGGACCCTGCTGGTGCAATGGCTGAGTGCAAAATCACTGTGTGAAAATGGTGATTTATAGTTGGTTTCTTGGGGTTTTTTGCCTCTGTGGCATTGCACAGCAGAATTCACAGGGAACGCCAGGACTCTGTGACAGTTTATTATAAACTTCCCCACTCCTTTAAGCTGAAGGCTGACCTTCAGCCTGCTCAAAGTCTATTCCTTGCTCCTCTGTTTGCCTTGTGCACTGTTATTTATTTTTTCCTCTTATAAAGGTCAGCCATCCATCTCCGAGCGCTGCTTCTGCAGCGTCCCTGTCCATGTACTGCTCTCAGTGGTTCTGTGTTCTAATAGATCTTGCCACTCCCATTTTCTGAAGGTGAAATGGTGCGACCTTACCCAACTGAGCTTTCTCTCAGTACTCTGTGGGGGGGAATATGGATGTTGTTTAAATATCTTTTCTCACAGGATTCCCGAGGAGTCACTCTATCAAACTGGGATGATCAGGCAAAGACAGAGCTGCCTGGAGTCACACAAGTCTGAAGACCAAGAGCTCCCCATCCTGAGCTTAAATCCTTGTAACAGCAGCAAGGGCACAGTAGCAAAGGCACAGGTAAGACGTGTTGTGTATCCCCATGATGCTGGCTGGAGAGAAGCCTCTGGGCCAGCTTCAAGATCATTTAAGTTTGCTAAAGCTCTGTTGGAGGATTTACCTGTTCTTACAGACCCTTTCCTTAGGTGGCATGTAGTTAAACCCTGGTAACTCCTCCTGACTGAGGGGAAAGCCCTGGGCAGCAGCAGGGATTGGTGGCAGGAGCCACAGTGCAGTGTGGACCACTCATCTCTGTGCCAGCCTGTGCTGACCACTTACTGCCAGGAATACCACGCTCTGCTCATCTGCACAGCTCAAAGACAAAGAGAACTGTAATTTCATCTCATCTTTCAACCTTTTCTCTTTCAAAATGCACTGAATCGCAATGGTATTTATAACTTCATAGTCTGCATTCCCTCAGTATTAGATTGCCCATTAAACTAGTGAGAATTTAATGAGGATGATCTCATTTTTTTCAGTCTCACTGAGATGAGAAAAAGCTGTATGAATAGGTGTTCTCAAAAGCATAGTCCAGGAAACATCAGAGCCAAGAGTAGGCTCGTGTGCCTTGCAGCAGAGTTTCTGGAGCAAGACCCTGAAGACACGGCTACAAAACCTGCCTTTCCTTCAGCCTCCCTTTGTGATTTTGGGCATATCAGTAAGTTCTCTCACTGTTCCCATCTATAAAACAGGGAGGATAACAATCACTTGCTTCTTCACTGTTGCTGTGAAATAATTTAATAGGCAATGGTGTGCTTGCTTCCACTTGACTGTACATTCTTAAGCTTCGTGGTTACACATTCAAGCCAGGTAGCTCTGCATATAAAAGGCACCTCAGCCTAGGGAGACTGCTGAAAGTGCCCCTGATTTGTACATACAAAAAATGCCTGTCATTATGTGCATCTCATTCAAATGCAGTTGCATGCCTGTCCTTAGGCAGGAAAATAATATCTATTTCACAGCATGGTAAAATCAACAATGATTACTTGAATCTTAGTCAGTTCAGAAAATATAGTGAATGTAATTGCAAGTGTTGCACAGTTGCACTTCTTATGGTTTCACTGGTGTCTAGGTTCTGGGGTTATTTTCCTTTCTTCCTCTGCTACATGGACTTTTCCCACCAACAGCAAGAAAAGCAAACTGATGAGAGCAGGTCATCATGTTTTGCAGGGCCAGCTCTGCAGAAGAAAAGAAAAATATTTCAATGACAATTGCAACTTTAAATGAATTGGATGTTTTTAAAAAAATCTGAGAAAATCAGAATGAAAAATGCTGCTGCAAGCTAGCGTTTCAAAATGAAATGGTATTGGTCTTTCTGAAATATCAGTTTGATGTGGTATTTTAAAATGAGAAATGTCATGCCAACAAGTTGGATTGTTTCATTCCCAGCAAACACATTTTGTTTTGACATTTCTGTGAAGTAAATTTTTGGAATTTTTCATGCCACAAACTTTTCATCTTCCCATTCTGATTCTGCAGCAGTTTGCAATAGGTCAACACTTCCCACTGGATGGCAGCTCCATTTCTTGTGCACATCCAGGACAAACTCTGCAAGGGAACAGAAAAATACACTACAAACAGATTGCAGAATGGCTATACCCAGTACTCCACAGGAACAGAGAAAACCTTTTTCCTTTTATCTTTCTCTCTTTCTAAGGTAACTCTCTGTTACTTGTACCCATGGAGACTATTTCAGATTAAAGCATGATATTTAAACTTTTATTGTGAATAGAAACTTATATTTTAATGACAAGACCACCTGAACTTGTGGATGACATGGGTGTTATAGTCACCAGGCTGTGTAGGATCTATAGTGCAGCAGTCCTGAATGCTACTTAGTTTTGCATTTGATATACCGTAATAGAGCAATGATCTTCACTTTTAGCATACTGAAGTCACATCTTGTTTGCCCTAAGCTTCCTTATTTGAAAAACAGGTTTAGCTGAATCAAAGCTCTGCATTCCTGGCATTCAGTAAGTACCATGGAAATATCCTGGCTGTCCAAATTCTTTATTATCACTATTATAGTAGCAGTACTTTGGTTGCTTTGATTGCCTTTCTGTATCTGTCTCATTGCTAGGCTCCCCCAGCCCTTTACCAGCATTACATGCATGAAGTGCTGGGACTGGATGTGAGAAGATCTGAGCTATCATGCATTATCATGGTTTAAGGAGAGATACAAAGGAACCGTGAGAAGGCAATGAGTTGCTCTTTATTTTAGTACTTTCTTTCTGTAGTGCAGGGGAAGGATGTTGTGAGACCTCTGGCTACATCCATAGTTTGGGTAAATTGAGAAGAGTACTCTGTGGTGAAATCAGATTTACACCCTTAGCAGATCTCACAAACCCACCCTGGTGGTGTCTGATGTTGGCCTTAAATTACTAAAAGGAGCACTGAGGCACAAGAAGACCCCTCATCTTTGTGTAGGAGAGCTCTGTTCTCTCATCCCAGGGATCTACTTGGCCCTTTCTGCTCCAAAAGGTCTGGCAGCAGTCAGTGTAGGCTGTGTCCCTTGAGATGGCTCTCAGAGGGCTCTTGAGTTATTGACTGGCAGAGATCTTCGTGCAGTGCTCATCCCCAGGGCACAGCAGGCTCTGCCTGCACTCCTGCCCACTGGAGCCCTTGTACTCTATGCTTTGTTATGTCTCATTTGCTAAATGAAGAGATTGATTTAGCTTTTCACAAGAGAAATGCATCTGAGGGAAAATAATTGATCATAATTTTGTCCTCATTTATCTAATGAAGATGTGAGTAGCTGGGTGTTTTTTTCCAAGTCAAGTGTCAGTTGATATTAGTTTCCAGGGTTTGAAACAGGCATCTGACTCTGGGATTTATTTAAATCATCAGCAGCTTCAGGAAACCTGTCATACTTCAGATAAAAAAAGCAGAAGGTGCTTTGACCTGGATACTCACGCACATGTAAGCAGTCGCTGCAAGATGAATGTAAAGTTCAGGCATCTTCTAGACAAGCAAGGAAACAGTAAGAAGGCTGTGGCATCCATTTCCTGGGCCTGCACTCCAAAAAATCTGGGGTTTGGAGCTGAGTGGCTGCCACTGCATTTGAGTGGCATGTCCTTGACTCTTCCTGTGAAGGAAATGCAATATGATAATCTGCCTGATATGGCTTTGATGCTCACCCCAGTTCTCTTGAGATCCTCTGTGTGCTGGCTAGATCTGCACTTAGGAGAACATTTAGCATCTATCCAAACTAAGTGTACCTCCTGAGACAACTCAACCATAAACGTTCTCTTCTGATCTTCCTCCCCCCAAAAGCCTTCGTTCTTCTCCATGGACACATCTAGCTCAGCTGTTGGCTGGCCAGAGCTACAGGAGGCAGGCTGAGCTAGCAGAGCAGAGGGGTAGCAGTGTCACCTCTGCAGCCAGCTTGTCATGGGCATCTTGTGTACTTCGCTTTCCTTCTCCTGAGATGTGTGTAAGTGCCAGTTGCATCCCAGGGTCTTTGGACGAGGGGAGCGCTTTGGTATTCTTAGGTGACCCGTGCAGTCACGTGCCTTGCAAAGTCCTTCCCTGTGATTTTAAAAAGATAATTGGGGGATTAGATTGTTCACAGCTTCCTCAGAAAATTTTTTCTCTACCTACTATCCTGGCTTTATGGTACAGCTGACCTCTTATTTGGTAGCAGAGCCCTCTCTGTCACATAATGCCAGGTTCCCATGGGACTGCCCCTTCCTAGGCTGAGGGCTCCTTCCTCCATCTGTCAGCGAGGCTATGCCAAGCCGAAGGTCACATTTTAAAATAATTTCCTCAATTCATAATCATGCTGAGTAACAGTGACAGGTGCCTGCTCAAATGATGCTAAAGCCTTGAAAAATAGTCGCAAGCCTCAGATGGGGGGTTAGTGTCATCTGAGGCTTCAGAGGAAGGGGATTGCTGGTTGTGGTATGCAGCTGGTAGCTCTGTTCTCCAAGCCCACCCTCTTCCTCCTTACTCCACCACCACTTGTGTTTGTGAAAAGGCAGGTAATCCTGATCTCAATTTCACCTCATATGTCTGTTTTTCGGTGGTGCCGGGATCAGCTCTAAGCCCTGATGGCATCTCTTCAGGCCAGGCTGCAGCCCTGAAGGTCATGCTAGCTCCTTGAAGATCTCCTTAGGGGTACCATGGGCTGCACTGTCCACCACAACCTCCATGTTGTGAAGCTCTGCTGTTATTACTGCTGTGCTGGCCAGGCTTTAGGAAATTAAGTAGTTTCTCATGGGGAAAAAAAAAAAAAGGCAGAAGTTTTAATCCCAACTGCTACAAATAAGGAAAGAGATGAGGTAAGATAAAAATTTACATGGCCATTTGCATGCATTTGAACTCAAAGCCCTTCATGGATTCTGTGGTGTTCAACTGACTCCCCCCTTTTTACCCCCCCCAAATTTCTTCATTTTCTGCATCATTTTCTCTGGCTTTCATCTAGGGCTGAAAGGGGACAGGACATGATTAGAGCTGGATAAAACATTTTCAACAGGACTGGCTTTCATAAAGAGCCATTCTGCCAAAATAGATGAGCTGTGTGAAAATCTGTCAGTTGAGATAAAGACAGTAGAAGGACAGCCTGGGGGCAAGAGAGTAGGATCCAATGTCAGCTGTCGAACTGAAGCATGCATCCAGCTCTGGAGTCCTCACTTCTTATGATGAACAAAGCTTAGGAAAGATGGTTACCACCACCCTTTCTATCCCATGGACCATTGCTGAATGAGAGAAAGGTCCTGCCTTGAGAGGATGTGAATATTGGGAAGGCTTGAACAGAGCCTGACCTGGAAAAAAAGCATGGAGGACCTCTGCGAGGAGCAGTCCTTCATCAGATACCTCAGTGAAGCAAAGAGGCTAAGACATCAAAGCAAAAAAAAAAAAAAAAGTCCCATGGCCTGAGTTAATTGGGGGGAGTTAATTGGGGGATCCAACATGTACACAAGTCCAGGATTAACTAGCTGCTGCTGAGGAGCCTCGTGGGTGCAGCTCCAACCCTGTCCTGAGCTAAAATGATGAACAACTGGTTAAAAATGTAAAGCAGGTTTTCAAAGCAGCTCGTAGTAGTGTGGGCGCCAAGAACAGATGTTGGAGCTTGCCCCGTAGGGTTTGGTTCTTCACAGATGCAGCAGTAATTTGGCACCTGATTTCCCAGGCTGGTGGTTTACACAGCAGCTGACAGCATGCATGGTTGGGATGTCTGGAATATGTTCACTGTAGGATCAGGTAAACTCTGCTCCATATGACAAAGAAGAACTAGCTGCCAGAAGGCCCTTTGGGTGCAGATTACAGCTTTGAAAGTGAATGCTTGTTATGTGCCCAAATCCTGGGCAGCTCTCACTGAGAAGCCTGTGGGCAGGCTGTTCAGAAAGCTGGGTTTGATTTCCATGAGCTGCTGGGGAGTAGTGGGCTAAGAAGCATGGGGTATGAGGATCACAGTGTGAAGTCCTTGTGGAGCTGGGTCTGCTATGCAAAAGCATGTTTTCCCTTCCAGGTGGCTAAGAACCTGAATCAAAGTGGGATTTATGTTCCCAGGAGTTAAATGCCTGTAGCTGTCTGTTTTGAAGTTGAGGAGAGGAGTTAGAGCTGCTGACGGTGACAAATACCAAAGGAGTGGAAGTGTTTCCCTGCTCTAATAATTCATGCTAGTGCAACTAAAAACCTCCACCATTCAAAGTCAGGGGAGCTGCAGGCATCCCAGCTCTGAGAGCAGGGCAGCCATTCTTCACATTCCCCTCCAGCACTCAGAAAGGGCTGAAATCTCCCAGGAGCACCTTTTACACTTCATTTTTCCAGCCCCAGCCTAATAGCTGTATGTTTGAGCTCTGCCTTCCCCTCCATTGCCAACACCGCTGCTCACATCACTTCTCACGGAGCTTTGACTCTCCATATCTGAGTTCTCAACTATTTTGCTTTCTCTCTGCACCTTTTCTTTCACAGCAGGTTTCGAATTTTCATTGCCTTTACCCTACCAAAGCGTCTGCCTTGGCTACTGGGGGCTGTTGCAGAAAAGCTCTTGCTCCCTGGCCTTGTTCTCTCCAGCAGGGTTATTGCCCTCTGATAGTGAAGCCAGCCTGCTCTTCATCCTCACATCCTGCTCATCTGCTCTTTGTCCTCCAGTCCTGCTCACCTACCCCGCCACAGTTCAGAAACCTGCTTTCCATTTGCTCCCACTGCTGCTCACCTGACTGCTCAGAGCCATTTACACGGCAGGAGTTGACCCTGCTTTGCACCCTGGCTAGGGGCCCTCAGAAAACCCTTCCAGCCCTGCTCTTTCTAATTTTAAAGTTGATGCTCACACAAAATTATAAACAAAACACTTGTTCCAGAAGTCCCTCTCCAGAGTTATGTGAAATCCTGGTTTGCAGCTGCCAGTCAGCCAAACCAGATCTTGTCTGCTTGTGTGCACACACAAATAGCAAGGAGAGACATCCCTGGCTTGGGATCCTCTCAGTAGCTGCTTTTGGGTAATATGAGCACTGGTAAATGATGGGAAATTTCAACTGGAATAAATGTTGAAGTAAACTTCTGTGGAATACTCCTGGGCTGTGTATCTGTACAGGCCTGATGCTTTGTCCTGCACATTTAGAAATCCTGGTCAAACTATCAGCTATTTCCCTTTTTTTTCCCAAGTAAAGCATCCAGTAGTGAAAAAGAGGATAATCGCAGAGAGCCCCTGTTGTTTGGTAAACATCTGGTAAGCATCTAGTAAGCATTTGGTGAGCACTTGGTAAGCAGGACAAAGTCTCTGCTCCTCCAAAGTTTATTTCTTGGGCTGAGAAGCTGGTAAGAGAAGGTGAACATGACAAGCAGTATGAGGAAAAAAACCTTCAAGATAGCCCAGAGGAACAGAAGTAGCAGTGGTCACAGCAAACCAGTATAGCAAACTTTAGGAGTTTGGTCCCACTGCCTTGATAAGAAAGCTGAGCTTTACCCTTGATTTTTGTGATACTTGGGAACAGAATCCTAGGAGTTGCAAACGTTTGCTTTGTATCACCTCTTTTCTCCTACTACCAGCTGTAAAACATTTCTGCTGCTCTTCCCTGGAAAATGGGGATTCCACATTGTGTGTTTAGTAGTATTTCTACCTCTCTTTTGCTTTTTTCCCCTTCCTTTTTTTCCCCCCAACCACAGCCCAGCTGTAGCTTTGTAATCTTTTGTCTCATGAACCATTTTCTTCCAACTGCTTTTGTAGACATTTTCTTTGGTACCTGCAGTCCCCCAATAACAGCTGCAGTTTTGGGAAGGCTTGAAACAGTGACCTGTCCTGGTGCCTCTTAAAGTCAGTGATGTTTGTGCTAGCCTTTAGAAGGGGCAGGATTCAAGCTGAAGCGTTGGTTTTCCGGGTAGAAGAATACCAAGACTTAACACTGATCTCTCACCTCGTTTTTTTTCTTCCTCTCTGCAGGAGTGGACATACACGTACAACCACCAAGTTCGCCAGCAGCAGCTGTGTTTGTCTGTGTACACTCTCTTCCCTGGTTCCCAGGTGCTGCTGTCACCTTGTAAAGAGGGTGACAACAAGCAGGTGAGCCCTTTCACTGATCCCTCATTTTCTTTGAAATTCTCTTTCTTTCATCATAGTATTACTGCACAGTAAATGGCCCGTGTGTTCTGACTTCATCTGGGAAGCACAGTCAATTCGGGAGTACAGACTCTGGCCTGTTCAGCCCTTTGCCTCTTAAATGAGTGTGTTGATAAGGATGTCTATTAGTGAGGGTGGTGATCTGGATACTTATCTGCAGAAGTCAAACCCAAACTGGCAATTTAGTTCACACGGGCTGCCAGTCAGGCAGCAGATGCTAATGTTTCTCTGCAGTTAATCATTGAGCTGGCATTTGAACCAGTGACCTGGGGAAAAAGCTGTTAGTAATATATTATCTTCCTGAAGCCAGGCAGAGGCCGAGCTTAAGTGAGTGTGCTTCTGATGGGAAAAAATGCTCAGCCTGTGCTCTGCTTGGTGCGAGTTTGGGGACCTTGTACTTCCCAGCATCAGGCCACAAGGGCTTAGTGACCAGTGTCCCCCTGGTGCTGGAACAGTAGAGTGAGAACATAGTGGTGAGGAAGCTTGTTCATCTGTTTCTCCTCTTGTGTGTCTCTCTCCTCAGCGATGGGGTAAAGTTGGGTCACACATTGAACACATAGCCTCACGCTTCTGTTTGGACACTGAGACGATTGGGGACATGAATGAAAGTATTAAAGAGCTTGTCATCAACCCTTGTGAGAGCACAGCCATGAGTCAGCGCTGGGACATGGTGATGTCTTGACCTGCTGGAGGAGGCGCACGGCAGGGACGGGCACTGAGATGTTGCTACGCGCAGCCAAGATGCACCAGCCGGAGCTCAAATGCAAAACCATTGGGGGTCCTTGTGTGCTGTGGGACAGAAGGAGAATCATTCAAATAAGAATGGGACACGGCACTCCAAGTTGAACAACGCATTTTGACTCTGAGACATGCAGCTGGCATTGGCCTGTTGGCAGTCATACAGGCAGAGAGAAAGGATGGCTAAAAAACAAGCTTGAAATGTTTTAGAGGGATACTGGGGCTCCTGCAATAGGCTGTACAGAACTTCAGTGTGCACAGTATTGGTTAATCCACCTGGAAACACAGGCAGAAGAGCCTTGAAGACCAAAGGGAAATTTGGACTGAGCAAAGCAAGCATCTCAATAGCTTTTGAGGGTTGAGGTGGGATGTGCCAAGGGATGCTAAGAAACATCTCCAGGGATCAAGTGGAAAACACTGATTTATCTTTGCACTTTTTATTGCTGTGGATGTTTTTGTCTCTGCAGACAGCATGGGTGGAGCCATGTTGCACGTTTGAATTTGTACCTAATCCACGTACATGTTGTGTATACAGAGGCAGAGCAGACATTTATGTCTGTGGCCAGGATCAGAACAGCAAGTAGTGGGGGAATCCTGCTTTGTGCTAACTGCACATGGGGCTTGTTGAATCTCCAAAGCCCAAGCAAACAGAGGATTCAGTGTGTGAGATTAAAGGATATAAACTGCTGTGAAGCTGGGAGGAAATGCAGTAACATGATTATTTCTTCTCTCTGGAGGCCATGGGTCACTGAAAACTCCCCTATAATCTCTCTGTGTGTCTCTCACTGCTTCAGATCTGGACTAAATCAAATTTTCACTTTTATTCCATAAAAGTAATATTTTTGGTAATTGAAGGTAATTGTGTCATATTTCTGTTTCTCAATTTCCAAACTACAGAAGAGGGGACTGCCATGAAGTGCTGCTACTGAAAGAATGGTGAAGGTAATTAAAATTAGAGACTGCTCTGAGAAAGGAAAAGGGATATTACCTGGTTTTACTTCCAAGGTATCTTGTAGTCCAAGACATGAAGTATTGAAGAAAAGGTTTGGGATTCCCCAATCATACTGTGAGCAGGGAAGTCTTTGTCACGATGTACCTCTCTCTCAAAGTCATTTAACATAGGCAGACCTGGCAGAAATGATTTCTTCTGCTTTTGGAGATAAGTCGTTAACCGGAGGTCATGGTAAGTGCTATCAGTATGTGGGAGTGAGGTGCGACTGCCAAAGGAGAATTGCACAGATGACCTCAGAAAGGGTCTTAGGCATAGAAGACTGGAAGGTCCTTTCTAGCCTGTCTTTCAGGGCAGCTGCCACTACAGCAACAGGTAACAGGCAATGGATCACCAAGAGCTGTGCACACAGCTCTTGTGTAGTAAAAACTCTCAGAGAACTTTCTCAGGACTGTCAACGAGATTTGAAAAAGAAAAATATAGTTTGTGTCTCTAAAAATGCTAGGGTTTAATGAAAATCTTATCCTTTGTTTCCTGTGCTGCAACCTGTAGGTAAAATACCATAAGCTTTAAGCCTTCAAGTGCTCTCAGCATCCCTTCTTGAATAAATTGCTGGCTTTCAGGATTTTACTGCCTCAGTTTCTCCTCCCTCAGTGCTGGGAGAAAGCCATATGTGTAAATCTCCCTGGCTTTAGAGGCAGAAGCAGTATGTACAAAAGGTCGCAGTGCAAAATGCTTTTCATGTGCTGCAGTGATTACTAACCTCATCAAGCTCCCCTGGTGCAAGCCTCAAGGGCCTCTGTTATGAAAGGGCTGGAGCAAGCTGTCATTTCATGGTGGGAGGCGGCATTGTTTCCATGCCACCACTTTGCAAAGGAGACAAGGGGAAGCACTTATAAAATGGAATGGACCCGCTTCAAAAAGAAGGGCAGTGACCTTGGGCTTCTTCTCTTTAATTGAACAGGGAAATATCACACCTACTTCTCACAATAGTGGTGACAGGCAAGTGGTAGTAATTCCCAGTCTAGTGCTTACAAGGGAAAGAAGCTCCCAGGAGCTTGAAGCTTAACACGTTCACACCTGTACTGTGCCTACAGCCTGGGACTGCCCAGCTGCTGGCACTTTGATTCTGAAAATCTTGGCATTAGTTTTGAAGTTCAGCACCTGCCAGGTATACTGAGCAGGACCTCAGACCTATCTAGCTTTACTGTTTTCCAGCAAAGCTGAAAATACCCGTTCTGCTGACAGCCAAAGCTCTCTATAAACAGGTAATGCTCTTTGCCTTAGCAGAAACAGCTACCTCACTACATGGGTGTGTGCTTGAGCACAGGGACCCGTGGGACCTGCAGGGATGTATTCTAGGAAGGAATTGTTTGACCAGCTTTTCATCTCTCTTGCTTTTTGCAAAACACAAATGCTGTACCAAATCCCTCCTATTCCAAAACATGCACTAAGGTGATCACTTTGAACATGTTTGGGGTCAGTGGAAGGCAGGCAGTGGGGAGGGTGACATCAGGAATGGTGTCCCCTACTAGAGAGTAGCAAGTAAGTTCGGGTAAGTCTCTTGCAGGCCAAAAAGCCACCTAACAGACCTGGATAAAGCAGCCCCTTGGCAAGCTGGTGATTGTGTCTCACACATATATCAGCTGTAACCCGTAGGCTACGACTTATTTCATGGTCCAAGAAATGAGATTATCCCTATGGATCAGCAATGTTTTCGGAGAAGCCTGAGAGTATCAGCCTAACTCCTGGGAAGGTTTATATAAGCTGGCAATGCTCTGGCAGCCTCCAGTGTCAGCCCCACTGTGGCATTTAGCAAATCTGCTTAATATCCCTGCAAAGAGACCTCGCATCATGTCAGGGGAAAGGTTAACTGCTGCTGAAATCCAGCTCGTACCTTTAGGTTTATTTCACTTATTAAAACAGACTGAAGACAGATTTTTGCTTTGTATTTGTTCCTTGTGTAGGCCTTTATTATCATGCTGTGAACAGATAAATGTGACTGATAGGTATCTAGATGGGCTCCCATGCCAATACTTCTTAAGCCCTAATGTCATGTGGTAGTAATGCTTTTTGGTGACATTTTGCACTGCCTTGAAAGAAAATAAGATAAGGTAGAAAATATGATTCTAATCCTGGCTGTTGAGCTTTGTGACAGCCTTTATGATCTCCAAGTAAGTCACTTCTTGTGCTTTGGGAAAAGTAGATTCAGAACAGGAAACTTGGGGCTAGAACTACTACTGGCTTTAAAGAGCCAATTAAGGCTGAAAAAAACCCAAAACCAAACAAAAAACCCCAAACAAACAACCAAACAACCAACCAAAAAAAAACCCCACCAGAAAAAAACCCAAACAAAAACTCAAAAAAGCACCTCCCCTTCCCTTGTGAAGGAGACTCATGTTCCACTGACAACAAATCTATCTGGCTTTAGTTGGGCTGGAGAAGTCTTGCAGTCCTTATGTTGCTGCTATGTGATTTCCGGGTATTTTAATGCTCATCTTCTCTCTATGTATCAGTGAGTACCATAAGATAACAACAAAAATCATCAGTGCTTGGAACCTCAGGTTACAACACGGTGAGGTAGTAATTTAATAGTAAAGAGATGGAAACTGAATTCAGAGGTTTTGATTATCCAACAATGCAACAGGAAAATAGGGCTGATGGGTGAAGACTGGTGGTTCAAGACAAGCAGCAGCCCTGAGTGCTAATCCCTTCTTCTGCTTCTAGGATTGGCTTGGGATAGCTTACTTCATTTCCCTGCCACAGTTTCCCAAACTTTTAGTGAAGACTGAATGTTTTGAACAGAGAGAAAACCAAGGATTAGTTTTTGTTGCATGCAATTCCAGCAGTACTGGACTGGCAGTCTCTAGATCTAGTAGCTCCATGAACCCTTTCTATCTGCCTGAAGAGGCTCTGATTCAGATGGAGTTAATTTTCTTCCTAACAGCCTGTAATGTCCTGTGTTTTAGACTGGTGACCAAAACAGTGTTGATAACACACCACAGTATTTTAGTTTGATAACACACCACAATGTTTTAGTTATTGCTGTGCCTGCACAGTGTCAAGGCCTTCATCTCTCACTCTGCTAGGTAGCAAGTAGGCTAGGGCTGGGGAAGAGGGTTGGGAGGCAACACAGCTGAGACAGCTGACCCAAACTGACCAAAGACACATATCATACCAAATAATGTGACACTCAGCAATAAAACTGGGGGGGAGTTTTGCTTTGGGAGGTGTTACTTAGAGACCTGATTGGGCATCAGTCTGCAAGTGGTGAGTGACCGCCTTTGCGTCACTTGGTTGTTTTTGTTTTCTTTCATTTTCCTTCACTCATTAGACTGTCTTTATCTTTACCCACAAGTTTTTTATTTCACTTTTGCCCTTTTAATTCTTTCTCCCATCCCATTTGGCAGGGAGTGAGGGAGTGTCTGGGTAGGGGCTTGCCAGACAAGGTCAGCCCGCCACACTGCCCTAAACCAACCAGGGTCTGTAGTGTATCAGGATTCAAGGCTCATAGTCTGATCACAACTGTGCAATAGAATCTGCGTTGCTCAAATTTCAGATCTTAAAATCTCTAGTGAAGAGCTATGAGCTAGGATTGTTGGTAGAAGTGGTAAAGGAAGGAAGGTCAAGCAGATTGCACACAAGCAGCAGAAGAAACTGTAGCTCATTAATGTGCTGGCTAAATTAATTTTGAATAATCAGTCCAGCTCCAGTTTTAATATGCAGCTGCTTTAGATGGCCAAAGAGTAATCTAAACCTGGTATGAGTGTCCAGCTTTTGTTGAGACTTAAGTGGAATTTTCCCAGATTTATGGATGTTTTCTAAATGTCCACTGTTCTGTTATTCGCTGGAAGTGCCTTCAGAACCCTGTAAGAATAAAAACCTGTTGCAAGCTACCACCTCTCCAACTGAGTCTAATTAAGTTTCAAGTTGAGCTGCATTGTAGCTTAGAGCTGATGAAAAGCAACATGTAAATTTGCAGGTAAGAATGCTGCTTTTGTGGTGTAGGGGGCCGTTTTGTTTCCTGTGGTATTATTTGGGCTCTGAAGTAATCCAAGCTGGTTGAGTGTGATGTACAAAAGAAAACATGACTGAGTTTCAAGGCTGGGTTTTGCATAAGCACTCATCTAGTAATTATCTATCAGCTGTCCATCACAATGAGTAATGTCTCTCATTTTCCTGTGATTTATATGAAAGAAGTGTCCTGACAAGATATTGCTACTGTACAGAGTTAAATTCAGTTGAAAACCAACCAACCAACCAACCAAGGAGGAAAAAAAGGAGAAAGAATGTTGATAGTTTGTATGTAACTTGATACATGCAATAAAAGAAAGATATTGCAAAATTAGAAGTGTTCCCAGGCTGAAAGGTTCAGGTTTATAACAGCACCAGAGCACAGTCTGCCTAATCCTCAGTTTTCTTACTAAGACTGTGTGCATCTGCAGTCCTCCTGAGGTCCTTCAGAGAAGCCATACTTCTGTCAGTATTAAACATGCACTACACGGTCCCAACTAACTCTGGCCATGGCCATGATCCACGTGTCTGTTTGTGTGTGTGTCTGCAGCAGACAGCACCTCCTTCTCTCAGCGTCTGAGAAGTTGAGCCTATTCTAATGGAGATCAGAATCCTGGTGCTGCACTGGTATTCTTGCATTTGAAATGTTTTCAGAGGAATCAGTGTTAGAAGCATTTTGAGCAGTTCTCATGTGTTCTGCTCCTGGTGACAATTCCTGGATCACCCCCATCCAGCCTATGTTCTCTTACAGAGATGAATGTTTTCTCTAAATGCAGAATCAGACCCAAAGTATACATGTAGTCACAACTAGATCCAAGGGTGTTACTAACATTAGCTCTGACCCTCTTGGCCTAAGCCAACACAGTTCAGATAGTGATTACAAATTTTACTGGACTTCAGCTGCCCGAGGCCACTGATGACAAGGACACACAGCACTGATATCTCACGAGAAGAAAAAGAGCATGCAGTGTTGGGAGAGAATGCTCCAAATCCTCATCCTGAGGCTGCTTTCACCTCCTTACTAATCCTTGGGAAGTTGATCTGGGGATGGCTGTGCACAAGGTAAGGTGAACGGGAGTTTTCCTGAAGGCTTGGTAGTGGTGGGAAGCACGGGCAGGTAGTCTGACTGACACCTGAACTGATGGAGGGCAAGGTGGGTGGGTTCACAAGATGCACAGTGAGTTGAGGAGGTGTGAGGCTGCTGCAGCAGATCAGGTGAGACTGGGGAGTAAGCCAAGGGCATTACATGTCATCTGAGCATGAAAACACCTGCTTCCAGGGGCGCAGAGGGCCTAGGTGGATCTTGGGTCAGCACCCTACACTTTGAGGGGTTTTTATTTTGACTGATAAATGATCCAGTGCTTGAAATTGCTGCCCCACACTGCTGTAGGGGTTAAAAGAAATTTGCTTATCTGGTCACAACATATTTTTGCTTCTGTTAATGCCACTGTTGTTAGAGTGGCAATGGCTTATTCAGCGCCTTGGATGTGAAACCTTGATTTGGGCATGGCACATATGTTGATAACGGGCATTACTTGTCCTGTCTTTGCAGCTTTGCATTGCCAAACACTTGGTATGTTTGCAATGGATCCTTGGCTTGAAAGATCACAGCCACTGCATTCTGAAATTGATTTTCTTCTACGGAGAGATGTTTGAAGCAAAAACCAATTTCGTTTGTATAAACTACATTAGAGATAAGAAGATATCCCTCAGTGTGCTCAGGATCACCTTTGAAGCCATTTTCACCCTACCATGAATAACAAGCTGCACAATAAAAAGAATTTCTTACAGCTGATCTGATCTCTACCCATCCGTGAGTTAGCTCTGAAATGAGATAAACCTATCTACTCTAATTCAGGACAGGTGTATCATGCTTCCCAATCATATTACAGAGACTCGTGAGGCCTGGTGGTGTAACCCTGAGCACATAACTGGGGCAAGTAAGGCAGCTTTATCTGCTTTAAGGGACTTGCCTTTTGAATAAGGTGCTGTGCTGCTCCCTCCGCCTGCAGCTGGTGTGTGAGATTCTACCTGCGCTGCTAGTCAGTAAGTGGTAGCTCTGGAGGGTCACACATGTGGCTTGCTTTTCTCTTCAGATAGGTTCAGTATTGGGTGTGGCTGAGGTGCAGTTCATTTTCCTGTAGCAGCTCTCACAGTGCTGTGTGTTGGTGGCTGGAGAGGAGCTGATAATGCAGCAGTGTTTTGGCTACTGCTAGGCAGTGCAGGCACAGCGTTAGCACAGCATTCTACCCCCTCATCTGTGGGCTGGGAATGGGTAAGATCCTGGATAGGGAACACAACCAGGCCAGCTGACCTGAACTAACCAAAGGGATATTGCATATCATATGACATCAGTTCAGATATACAAGCCAGGAAAAAGAGGACAAGGCATTCATTATTTACAGTGCTTACCTTTGGAGCAACCACTACAGGTGCTGAAGCCCAGCTTCCCGAGAAGTGGTTGGGCATGGCTTGCTGATGGGAAGTAGAGAACAAACCTATTTCTTTTCTCTTTGCTTGTGCACATGCAAACTTTTGCTTTTGCCTTCATAACCTGCTTTAACCTACAAGTTGTTTTCCATCTTGTTTTTCTCTCCCCTGTCCAACTGGGAAGGGAGAGTAATAGAATTACTTCATGGGTACCTGGTGTCCAGCCAAGGTCAACTCTCCATAGTCTTGTATCCTCTCTCTTCCTTTGCCTGATTCTGTCCTTCCAGTCTGCTATTCAGCTGGTGCCAGTTTGTTTAGATATGGTGGCAGCCAACCTACAGAAAGACCAAAACAGAAAGTATGATTTAAAATGAAAAGCAGCAAGGGGGGGAAAAAAACCACAACAAAACCATCACCTTTCCCTCCCTCCCTTCTTCCATCTTTTATGTTTTTGTTATAGGCTTTCCTGATGTGTACTAGGATCTAATCTGTAGGATATCACAGAGGTATCAGGGCTTGAGATACTACTGTGGCATTGAAGATATAGATGCATTTGCAGTCCAGCTCCAGGCTGGAGTCACCCCCTCTCTTTCCTAAGTACAAGGTTGCCAGCTCCAGTTATTGTAAGACTGGGTATGGTTTGTGAGTCCTGCATTGCTGTTTTCCCTTGGCAGGAGTGTCGGGTTGGCTCAAGAACACTGATAAGTTTCCCCAAATAGGAGCAGATGGATTCCTAGCAATAGATGCCAAGTCAGGTTGTCCATGAGATGACAGGGAAAAAGACCCTGACTAACCAGGCCTGGAGCAGGCACTGGTTATTCTGCTGGGAACAGGGTGACATTCACAGCTGAGCTTGTTGCCTCTGATGGCAGAAAGCAAATCTTCTGTTGTTTTGACTTTATGCAGTTGTGGAAAGGAAAGCTGCCATATTCAAGTATCGTAATAAATAATGGTAGTTCTCAAAAGGTGCCGAAGAACACAAGCATCCAGAAGGGAAAGAAAAAATTCATGGTGCCTCCACTGGGTTTTGTAAGAAGTATCTGGATTGGGGGAGGAAACAGAACACGTCCCTTATCTGATGTCAACTTTTTGTGGGAAATAATAATGGTAGTAGCTGTGGGTGGGTGGGTGGGCATGAAGTGACCGTGTGTTATCCGGTCTGTGATTCAAAAGGTCAGGGCTGAACTGCTTTAATGTGAGGCAATGGAGAATGAAGAGCTTTGCTTTCCATGTCATATGTCCTGTGTGCTCAAGTGTGCAGGGCTGTGCTGGGGCCTGGGGAGCCCTTTACAGAGAGGGTGATCAGGCATTGGAATGGGCTGCCCAGGGAAGTGGTGAATTCTCCATCCTTAGAGGTTTTTAAGATGAGACTGGATGTGGCACTTAGTGCCATGGTCTAGTAACCACGGCAGTGTTGGATCAAGGGTTGGACTTGATGATCTCAGAGGTCCTTTCCAACCCAACTTATTCGATGATTCTATCTCCCCAGGCTGTGGAGGCTCCATCAGTGCTGGTTAGTGGAAGGTCACTGGTGGTGTGCTGTGCCTGCCCTGGTATGACGTGCCTGCTCCTGGGGGGACCGACGCCAGGCTCAGCACAGCCAGTGGGAGCCCATTTACCTTTGGCAGGACCCCGATGGAGCGGGAAGCCAGGTCTGTTCAGGCAGTCTCAAGTTGTGTCTTGGAGGTTGCTCTTTCTAGGGCACTTGGCTGCCTGGTGCATCCTGCAGTCTACTTGTCAGCATATTATCAGCTAATTTAAAATTACTCAAACAAGCCCTTATCAGTGCATGAGACCAAAGGGTGTTAGTGGGCATAATGGCAAGGAAGGTTTTATGAACCACTTCATAAAGCCAAATCCTCGGGAACTGTTGAGGCTGTAATTAGATTTGAGGATAATAAGATTTTTTTTTTCTCCTCTTTTTTTCCCCTCTTTTTTTCTTTCTGGTAGCAAATCAAGGAAAAAATTGGAGCACTCGGTTAATTCTTGTGTATTCAGAATGTGGCTCCAGGCTCTTTACTAACACGAAGGGATTACAACTTGATATCAAGTACCCTGGGAGAAGTGTGAGCATGAAAGTACAGTGATGTTTTGCTATAGACTATGTGGATCCCTTATGTACGTGCCTTGAAAAGGCCTCCCAAGGCTTAGGAGCAATTAATAATGAAATCAACTAATAACAAGATCTGCAATGCAAAGAGAAAACTAGCCAGCATTTTGTTATGGGGAGAAAATGAGCAAACCAGCAGGGGACATGCTGATCGTGTCTGATTCATGTCATCTCTATAATCCCAGCTAAAGTTTTAACAGCCCAGGAAGATGAATTACCTACTCTAACCAACACTGGGATCAGCATGGGGTTTATTAGAAGCAGGCTATCATTTAACAATGTCAGGAGTGTATTTATTATTAAGCAGTAGACTCCACAGTCTAAATGGAAAACCATCACTCCTCCTTAGACACCAAACAAGGTATGTTCATAAAGCCAAATGGCCAATATAGTGTATGCTTGCACGAACACAAATACTAGGTCCACTTTACTGGACCTCAGGGCTTTCTATGTCTAGCTAGAGACTAATAAACCAAGATGTTTGAAGCTACTGGAGGACAAAGCTGTACACCATATGCTAATTCTGACTCTCAAAACTCCTTGGTAACTTCACTCCAGTGACTTGGTAAGAAACCAGAGAAAGGATTCTAGGTTCAGCACAGAGGGATTGGTTCAAAGCAAATGCTTGTGGGCCATGGAACAAAAAACACGCAAGAAAACTCTGCACAAGCAACTAGATTTTTTAATATGTACTGTGTACTTTCAGCCTAGATATTGCTGAGTCCTTCCTTTTTCCTTGAGGCCAATGCCCTTGTCCATAGGAAGAATCAATCAGTGAAAT